ACCAAACTTGATTCATATCTGACCCAGGTAGACTGCTGTTCATCACTTCTTACCTGAAGTTCAAATTCCCCTCCAGTCGCACCACATGTGCCGTCGTTATATAATGTGGCGGACGCGGGTCTCCTCCTCCTGCCTCCCCTTCACCTCATTACCTGCTGCAGCTGCTTTGGATGCCAGTGCGGGTGCGGTCACTGATGCTGCCGCTGAAGAAGCTCCGCCATAGCCAGCAAACATCTGTGTTATTTTAACACATTTGGCAGCATCTTCCTAAAGGGCTTGTCTCTTTTTCTCTCTTATTTTTTCCGCACCTCCTTTGAGTTTCTTCTCAATTTTGTCAATCTCCTCTCTCTCTGTATGATTGATTGACTGACAGCCGAGGCCCAAGTGGGAGGGGGCATCGGCCCTCGGCTGTAATTGGTCCAGCCCAGAATCAATCATGACTAATGGGCCGATCTACCAGTTTTGTGTACCAATAGGTATCATGACATGACTAAAAAAAAAAAAAATAAACAAAAAAAATAAAAAAGGCCCGGCCCAAAATTACCATCGGCCCACCGGGCAAATGCCCGGTATGCCTGATGGCCAGTCCAGCACTGCCGAGAGGTGAACACAGTGGTGAGTTGTTTGCACAGATTTGTCATAAATCAAATCCAGTGACAGTAGAGATATGATGTGCAGTGACAAAGAGACAGGTTCATTACTTTTCTTTCATGAAATGTATAAAGATATGAAGGAGGGGAAAAAGCAGAAAACAGACAGAAAATGAGCAATGACAAAAAAACAAGATGACAATAGATATAAAAGGAGCACGGGAGAAATTGTGGAAAAACTAGAAGATAAAATACATTAGAGTCTGAATGCAGAATTAGAACTGATGGAGATTTTTAGTGAGCGTTATTGACGGGAGAAGAAAAGGCCAGATTGTTTGCGCTATGTAGGTTAAGTGGTGCAGCGGTGGGCTACTCTGCGGGACAACACACACACATACGCACGCACACACGTGACGTGATCTGTAGGACTGAATGTACTCGCTCTGGGAAAAGGAGAGAATGAGTTCACTTTATAGTCTAGAAATGATTCAACAGTCTCAGAGGCTACTACTGTACAGTGTGCTGCTGTAGGGGATACACACACACACATGCAGACACACACACACACGTACACACAAAGTTTATTATACTGTAGTTAAAGGAGTAATTGTGAGCTGAATACACTCACACAAGGTCAACATCTTACAGTGTATTCTGTACAATGAAACGTCGGGCCAGTGGTAGAGAAAAACAAAATTCAGGATGTTCACTGATATGTGTGCTGTATAATAAATGAGAAATATATTTTCTTTTAGTTATGTACAATTGATAGAAGGGTTCAGACAGTCGGTTTACTGATCAGTCAATAAACAAAAAATTTAAAATAGTTTGATGATTGAAAAGTGACACATGCCAAACATTTGCTGCCTCCAGCTTCTCAAATGTTTGTTACTTTTTTATATCATGCCTTAAGTCCCTCATGCTCAGACAGCCCAGCACAATCAAATGAAGTCTGGCCTGCAGCTCAGACTGACACTTTCATCAAACATTTGTTCCAATTTAAAAGTAGTTCCTTATATTTTTTATGCTGGAGTCATTGAGGTGAAAGCATGACATTCAAAAGAATTCGTGTTTTTTTTTGCAGTGTCTTTAAAGAGAGGCGAAAATAGAGTGAACAGTGTTGAAGTAAACCATAAAATGTTTTGGCAGGAAGTTTTTTAACTTAAGTGTCTCGTTTAATCACTGAAATGATCAGTAATTGTAAACAACACCACCATTATTGATTTTCACTACTTGTGTAAGTGTGTCCTTCCTTACTCAAATACTTCTCGTATTTCCTTTCTTTCGAATAGCAGGTTTAACTTTGGATGGTGATAGGGAGGATGTCATATTTTCAAGCTCTCCTCATGCACTGTTTGTTTTTCTATAAAAAGTAATGCACCAAAATGAGTTCATATCTTATGTAATTATGAACCAGTAATTCGTATATCACTCACATATTTGGGAAGACTGCAATTATCAGACCAATATGCTGAAGAGAGGAAAGTACATGTTGATATTTTATATCTTATCAGCTGAATTTTTTTCTCATCATCTCAACCCAAAGGTCAACATGGAAGATCTCTGTTTTTTGCTGTTATTTTCACGTTAAGCTGAATTTATATTTCTGCGTCGAATCAACAACGTACCTACAGCCCGATGTGCACCAGAAATGTAACTACACATTGCGGCGATGCAGACCTCCTGTCTATTTTTGTAAGCTGAAATCATTTCAAACAATAAACTGTGAAGACAGTAAAGCCTCCACTAAAATAGCATTTTAAGAATGTGTGTGATTTATCCTGGCTTCATATGAGCAGAGGAAATCTCTGCTCGTTGCTAGGCTAATTTATACAATGTAAAATGCCATAGGCTTGTGCTAATATTGTTAGCGTGTTGTATATGTTCGAAACGTGTTGAGTACAAGACAGTTGTTTTGTCGGTGAACCCTGTGAGTAATGGAGCCTACTTTTGTAATTTTACCTTTGTTACATGTTGCTGTTGTCCCTGGCTTCATATGAATAGAGGAAAAGTCCACTAGCCACTAGGCTAATTAATACATTGAAAAATGACATAGGCTTTTGCTAAAAACATTAGCATGTTGTATTTGTGGGGAAAATGTGTCCAGCCAAAGACAAGTGCTTTGTCTCTGAATGCTGCGAGTTATAGTGAAGCTGATTTGTGTATTTGTGTTTGAAATGGTCGCTATTAAGCCATGTTTAATGTGTGTTTAAGGTGTGTTTAAGGTGTGTTTTGACTCAACTAAACTGTACAGCACTTCACAGAAACCCTGCTGCAGTTTTGGAGATGTAACTGCAGAGTGACACAGACAGACCACTGCACGAGTATAAATGCTCACAATGGCATAGGCCACGTGCTAGGCTATGGTGAAGTTACTGCATATAGCTGATGCACAAGTATGAAATCAGCTTTAGATGAAAATTACAGCTACCAGTACATCTGTTTAGCCTTTTCCCCCACTGTTTTTCTACATACAGTCAGTAGTGTCTGTATATTGTAAGGCACTGGATAGATTTGTGTTTCAACAGGAAAGAGAGGCAACATTTTTTGGAGCTGTTACACATAAAACTTTTCATAATAATCAGACAGCAACACTCAGACACACATTATCTGCCTGAACTTTGCTGGTACTAGAAAGGCAACGCCAGAACACCTGTTGGTCATTAAAACAGACGTGATTTGAGGCCTCAATGCAGACTGATGCAGAGCAGGGCTGATAGTTTTATATTCATACAGATGTTTTACTAAAATATTTATCTATTGTTGCCCATTTTCTAGTTTAAAAAAATAATTGGGAATTTGCTAGTTTTCCTACTTTGTTTTTTTTATTTTTTTATACGTTTTTGTTGATCTTTCTGCTGTAATGATTCCAGCTGTCATTACAAATTCTGGCTGCCTGTAAGTAATAATGACCACAGTGTCTAACACTCAACCCAAAGCTGCATCCATCACTGTGGAGTCTCTTGTATGACACCTAAAAACAGATAAGTCTGAAATGAATTCAGAGAAACATAGAGATAAAGGGGGCTTAATAGGGAGAGGAGATATAAAAGATGAGGAGAGGGGAGGGGTTAGGATAGGTTTGGTGAGTTTTTACGAGGAGAGGATGAGTGTGGAAAAGAACAGAGATGGGAGATAAGTGTTCAGTGGGGAGGGCTACATCTGTCAGTTATTCATTACATGATTAATAAGGCCGCTCTTCAGTCCAAAACAGCATCAGGTAAACAGAAGGTGTCTTTACTGGAGAGATGCTGACGAGACAATGAATATTGAATATTTTGAGCGATAAATCTTAGTTGTCTTTAAATAAAATGTAAACCAATTACTCTCTTTTTCTGTCAGCGTGTCGCTGAACCGACCCCTGTGGCTTTTCTGTTGGCACATTCCAGAGATCACCTGTCAGTCAAACACTGTGGATGGGACAGTGACATTTACTTAGTCTTCTTAGCCATGGTGGCTATCGATGCTCACACCAAGTCAAATCTCTTCTGCTTCTTTTGTTTTAATGTCTTTTTCTGGACAGACCTACAGTTTGTTCACATCAGCAAATGGAAAAAAGTTAGAGACGAAAAATTTAGATTATGCAGAGTGTGTGTGTGTGTGTGTGTGTGTGTGTGTGTGTGTGTGTGTGTGTGTGCGTGCGCATGCATCGCAGTCTAATTTTTCATCAGTCAGCCTCACAGTGTGAGAAGTGAGTGGAGCCGATGTGATGAAAATAGGGTGTAGCTGTCAGCGTGACTTGGCTTTTTAGAAATGTACGCCAGCTTAGCTTAGCCCGCTGCAGCTCTGACAGCTCTGTCTGGAAATAAGATTTCCAGAGTGTGTAGAGCTTGCGCACGCGTGTGTGTGTGCATCTGTCTCTGCAGTCTGCTGCTTAAGTGGAATCGACATATTCAACGTTAAGAATATTAATCAGCGTGTTAAACCATCAATCTTATTTAACTCCAATGAGGACACATCATTTCAGTGGAGGAGTAGTTGCAGAGGGACACAGGGTTAAATGGTCTTTAAGTCACACACACTCTCACACACAAACACACACACTTACCTGGGAGCTAACCAGTGCTGCTGAGCAATAATAAGCTACCTGATGACTTTTTGACAGTCCTGTCATTCAAGCCGGTGACTTTTTTATTCAAAATATCACTTTATTAGCTTTTTAAATTGTATTTTTTGGAAGCATATGCCAGATTTTGCCTCTCCTGTCATGTCAGTGTTGATGTTTTGAAACTTTGAAACAGCCTTTTCAAAGCATGGGCAATGAGCTAGAAGAAAGATTTTGGAATTTGAATGTCTTCAGACATGTTTTCGGCCATGTTGTGGTGATGATATATAACAACAAAAATGTAGTATGGCAAAAAACAAACTTTTGTCACTGACTCTTTTGTTTTTGTCTTCTCTGTGTTTCAGAAAAAAGAGTGGTTATGTCTCAACTGCCAGACCCAGCGGCTGATGTCCGGGGGCGGCCTCGACGAACCTCCACTTCCCGTTCCTCATTCGTCTCCCAAGCACCAGCCAACGGGCTCGCCCCGTCACCAGGCGCCAACCAGTCAGCAAAGCCCTCTCCACAAACCCACCAGTCAGCAGGGCCCCAAGCCAGGCCAGCCGCAGACACAGAAAGCGCCGGGAACTGGCGGCAGCGTACCATTTGTACCCACTGCTGCCAAACAACCGACCGACACCAAGACAACGACACCAGTATCGACCACAGAGACTCAGAAACCTCTGAAACCCTCAGAGGAGAAGCCCAAAATCGAGCCTGACAACCAAACTGCCAAAGACACCAAACCCTCCCAGAAGAAAGGAGAGCAGATCACACCGATTAAGGAAATCAAGAAGTCCAGGCACTATGATGTAAGTCTGATTTTTTTTTTTCATAACATTGCTTTAGTCATGTGTATGACTCTGTATGTTAAGCTATGGAAAATGACCAAAAGTTGATACTAGTATAAGTGTTTTACAGCTTCTTAATAGTGAACCAAATAAACAAGATGGAAAGTGACAATCAAAAATGAATATACATGTTCTTCCTCTTACCTGTAGTGCCGTCTATCAGTCTAGATTGTTTTGGTGTGAGTTGCTGAGTACTGGAGATATGGGACATAGAGTTGTCTGCCTTATCTTGAACATAATAGAACTAGATTGCACTCGGCTTGTGGTGCTCAAAGCGCCAAAACAATACATTTAAAATAGTCAACGGCAACGTCTCTTTCCAGACATTATGACCCGGTTACTCAAAATAATCCACAGACCTTGTTATGAGCAGTTTCATGTAGGAACTATTTTCCTTCTATCGAGCTTCACCCGCCAACCAAATCACTACACAGAGGGAAGTGTGAATCTAATGCTAGTTCACCTAGCGCCACTGAGCTAGATAACATTACAGCGTAGGTGAGCCATTAATCTTTACATCTGGCACTGACACAAGCACAAGCCTCTCGTTGATGAGCAGATGCACACGTCCTTCTGCACAGTGATACAGTTGGCGGGTGTAGTTTGGTAGAAAGAAAAAAGTTCCTAAAGACTGATTAATAGCACTACAGGTATGAGGAACAATATGTATTTTTGATATTGGGGTGAACTGTCCCTTTTAGCTGATTTTCAGTTAACGCTCTCTGAAAACCATAGTGTAACATACAGGTCTGTGTGCCAAAAAATGGCCATTGTCTGGACCATTTTAACTTAAAGAGCATGTATGCAGGTTGAGTTATGTGAGTGTGCATGGCTGTTTCAGCGTGGCCCAGCTTTGCATTCATACAGTTTTTCCATCACACTTAAAGAGCTTAATGAAAGCTCTTGTTCAGCACCAAGTATGTGTAGTCTACAGGATTTTGCCCACGCTGGACCTCCAAACACCCCACAGTCCATACAGTCAAGATATGTTAAAGATAACAGGGCTGCAATCCAGATGATCATAAGTAATAAGTCTGACACCGGAGAAATGGATGTTAACTTTTTACATCACCATGGATCCTGCCAACGACCAGCTGCCTGGTGCCTCATTAGATTCCCTCCAGCGTTTCCTTCAAGGTTTTGATCGCTGTGTTTAGACTCCAGATGTAAGTAAATGAATAACAGTGGCATCATGAGGTCATTCATGCTACTGTGAATATGGCCTCTGTTACACTTTTGTGATGACTTGTGCTCACAGATAAGCACTTGTTAAGGTTCATAAATGTCACTTTGAACAGATCTGTGAGACTGCATTAGTTTGGCATTGTAGGTTGGCCAACTATCACTGTCTTACAACACAGTCAGCAAATGCAACACAAAATCAAACTTCCATTTCTAAGAGTTCTTGCTGGACTCCCTTTTCTATGGGTAAAGTTAAGAAAGTAAGCAGTAAGTAAGAGAGTACCAGTTCCTTTGAAGCTCAAGTCTCCCATTATTCTCTCATGAATATTTAAGATTTTCTCCTGCATGTTTCTCAACTGCTGCATGCTGTTTTAATATTAAATGTAATCAAATTTTGTGACTGGTGGTCAGTGATCCATAAAATACTTTTAAGTTGTTTAATTCTTTAAAGTTAAAATGGTGGGGAAAATAACTAGTACAATGTGCTCTTCCCCATATGTCTTGGTTTTTTGTTTTGTTTTGTTTTTTAATTTCAGTTAGATTAAACTAATTTTTTATTGAAAGATGAAATTCATAATTACAGTGACAAGTAAGATGCCTCAAGGTTTGTAGTGTCACTGAGAGCCTTCATGAATTTACAATGCAATGGGATGGTTTAGGGTTTAATATCATAACCAAATTTCTAGATGTATTTGCCCTGTTCATATTTTTGCCATTCTCTGATTTTATATAAGCTTTTCTTATTTGTTTGTTTTCTCTGACCTCCATAATCACCCAGAGTTTACTCTTGAACTCCTTTTTATTTAAAGCTTTTTTTTGCAGTCCATGTATAAAATGTCTCCATGTGTAAAAATACCCCAAATATTTCATGTGAATTTACAGTTACATTCAGCTGGACGATCACAGCCCGGCCCAGTTTTTCCTTTGTTATACTACAAAGTGACAATTAGCCTGTAAGCAAAACACTGGGTGTTTTTCATCACAAAATATAGTTGTGGTATGTCATTACCTAAGACTTTCTATGGAGCATGGTTATTTAAAATTGTAAGTTGAACCAATTACTTTCTTCTGTGGTGTTGGACGTCCGTGGCTGTTTGGAAAGCATGTCATTGATTCCCTCCTCGCAGAATGCTGAGGCTGCAAGTGGCAGCATTCATGGACTACCTTGGGGAGGGGGAGTGAGAGTGAGAGAGAAACACAGAGAGAGTGAAATAATGCCTTTTCTTACTCAGCGGCAGCCATCACTCCTGCTGAAATATTTATAAAGATTGGCTGCTTTGGGCCCTTTCAAAGGCAGAGCAGACCTTCCTCATCTAGGGAGCTGCTAGGAATTTAAAGTGCACAGAGCTCAAAGTAAAGTCTCCTCTGAAGTATTGTAACCATCGTAAGAGGTTTTCTAGAAAATCTCTCCATAATTTTTATCTATTTTGTATTCTGTCCTCCATCCCCCCTTTCATTCACCAGGTTAGTCCCTTTGAGATTATGATTTGGCATGTTATGAACAGACATCTGAGACAGAGCCATTGATGAATGAGTTTTGGGTAGTTTTTACGTTAACTTTCACAATCACTCATCACGAAAAGACTGAAATTTTCTCACTCCTAAAAAGCACAGTTTGACTAACCTCTTTCCATCAATGGCTCAAAAAATTGTTAACAAATCCAACAACCTTAAGCCACTTTGTGATAAATGTATAATTATGCAATTTGTCTTAATGCTGTCATTTACTTCTTAATAAAACCAGACCATACTCCATGTATTTGATCGAGTTAAATTGTTGCATAATTCTGTATTACATATTTGTATTGTAACTAAATTGTAATGAAGAAAGTATTTATTGAGGACTTTGTTCAAAGGGCAGGCATAGATTTAGTGGATCTAATGTGAGATGGTTTATTCAGTTTTAGAAATAGGAAGGGCAAATGTTTTCCTGTATAATTCTACATCCACAGTGACATTTAATAACAAGTTCAAGCCTATTCTTTCACATGTTCTCTCTTAATTAAAATCTGTCACTTTTTCTTTCTTCTTTGTGCAATTTAGCAACTTTTTTTTATGCGATAACACCTACACATTCAATTTTAGCCCATATTTGAGCTTTAAAAAACAATCTTGTTGAATAAAGTGGAATTTCTGTAATTGGAGTTTGGGGTTCTTATGAACCAAATCAGCTGTTGTTGTTGTTGTTATTACTGGAAACTATTTTTTGCTTTCTGTCCAATATTTTAAGCTAAGACTTTGTTACTTAGTTGAATTCCATAAAGACTAAATTTATAAACATGGAGCAAACCCCAAACTTTCAAAAACTAATGAAGAGAGACCTACTTTATTTCATTCTTATTTAAAATGTTGTTAATATTTTTATATATAGCACTTCTTACATGGTAGCTAATGTTCCATAGGAAAAAAAAGGATAATTGACGTTAATTACATGCCATTAAAAAACTATTAAATCATCAAATGTACGTGAACATCTGAAAAGGCTTCTTGAATGATCGCAGACAAAATTCACTGTAGTTTGTATCTATCAAGATATTTTAGGTATCAAGTTCGAGAGAGCTCTCAGGGTCATTGCTTTATCTCTTCTTGAAATGCTAAGATGAGATTGCAGTTTAATGACATATTTACAACCAGTATTTTTATTAAAAAGAGAGGACTGCTTTTTTAGCAGTTAGCTCAAGCACAGTTTGACATATTTAAGAAGCAAAATAAAACTGGAACAATCTTGTTATCTGACAGATGTTTTGGTCATCCAATATCGCACAAACAATGATAAGATATATCACATTAAACTGCAATTTTTAAAAAATAAACTTAATTTGTTCTTAGATAGATATTAAAAATTAGACAGAAAACATGAATTCTGTATTTTAAAAAAAAATCTGAATCTAAATATATTTGGGCTTAAATTGAATGCGTACTGATGTATTGATCCAGCATCAACGTATTATCACACTTTGCAAACACGACTTGACTTAAATTAAAAACCCTAGATACCCTAAATCTGATGCATTCTTCTGTCTTTCTCTTTCTCTCTTTAGGATACAAAAAACAACAGCACCCATGACTTGTCACGCAGCCCACAGAGCCTCAGTGACACTGGCTACTCCTCTGACGGCATCTCCAGCTCCCACAGTGAAATCACAGGTCTAATCCAAGAAGAGGAGATGAAGCTGAGCGAGAGGGGGATCAGTGGGCGGGGCTCCCCACCAAGCCCGTCTGAAATCACCAAACTAGAAAGCTCCATGAGGCCTTTGCTGGAGAAGAGCCTTTCTGAAGAGAAAGTGGACAGAAGGGGGAGGAAGCACAGAGATAGAGACTTGGATGACAGAGGGAAACAGCGCCCACGCTCCCTGTCAATCCCACCGGATGCATATGACTCTGACGAGGAACTAGAAGATATATTGGAGGAAGAAGAAGATGTAGGAGACTGGGAGAGTAAACGGAAGGAAGTGAAGGAGGAGAAGAAGGAGAAGAAAAAGAAGGAAAAAGAGGCTGAGCCCACAGAGATGACAGATGAGGAGTTCATGAGGAGACAAATAATGGAGATGAGCGCTGATGAGGAAAATGAGGAGGAAGAGGAGGAGGAGGAGGAAGAGGAGGAGGAAGAGATGGAGGAAGAGGAAGATGAGGAAGATGAAGGATATGGCTACCAGAAACCCAAGAAAAGCCACCATAAACACGTTATCTCTGACTCAGGGAAGGAGAAAAGACGTCTTCAGCACCACTCCAGCAGTTTTGAGGAGGAGACTAAGAGCACTACTGATGTCTATAAAGGCTCAGTGGAGGAGGGTGAGGAAGATCTGATGGCATCTCAAGGAGGCTTGAGACGCTTCAAAACCATTGAACTCAATAACACCAACAGCTACAGCCGGGACATGGAGCTGAGCAATGAAAATGACTTGAGCCTTGATCGGGAACCAGAGCTAGAGATGGAGAGCCTGACAGGATCTCCCGAGGAGCGTTCTCGAGGTGACTACTCCTCCACACTGCCAGCCACTTCATCCTCATATGGCTCAGGCCAGTCTCCTACTTCCATCTCATCAATGGAGGAGGACAGTGACAGTAGCCCTAGCAGGAGGCAAAGGCTGGAAGAGGCCAAGCAGCAGAGGAAAGCACGCCACCGCTCTCATGGCCCCCTCCTTCCCACCATTGAAGATTCCTCCGAAGAGGACGAGCTAAGAGAGGAAGAAGAACTTCTGAGAGAGCAGGAGAAGATGAGGGAGGTGGAACAACAGAGAATAAGGAGCACAGCACGAAAGACCAAGAGAGATAAGGAGGAGCTGAGGGCTCAGAGGCGCAGAGAGAGGTCCAAGACACCACCTAGTAATCTCTCCCCCATTGAAGATGCTTCTCCAACAGAGGAGCTGAGACAAGCTGCAGAAATGGAAGAGCTCCATCGATCTTCTGCTTCTGAATATTCCCCTCAGAGTTTGGACTCTGAGGCTGAGGGATATGAGTCCAAACTTTACAAGTCAGGCAGCGAATACAACCTGCCCACATTTATGTCTCTCTACTCACCAGTCGAGAAATCATCAACTACAACAACCACCACAGCACCATCCTCAACTTCCAAACCGCTAAAGAGCGCTGAGGAGGTTTATGAGGAGATGATGAGGAAGGCAGAGATGCTTCAGAAACAACAGAAACAACAGCAGCAACAGCAACATGGAAGACATGGGCAATACTACGAGGAGGACGTTAATGGACAAGGTTATGATGACGAGTATGAATATGATGATCAGGCAGGATACGACAATGAGGCAGCAGAGACAGAAACAGATATTTATGAGGAGATTCGACAAACATCACAGAACATCACCAAGATGCAGCAGGCCACTGATGAGCAAGTAGAGATTGAGATTGAGAGCTCCTACCCAGACAAACAGCTCCTAGACACAGGGTCAGCCTTTGCTAAGCTACTTGAGCAAAGCAATGCTCTACTAACTCCAGGGACCAGCCCCACCCAGATCTCAGCTCCTGTCTCCTTTGCCGAGACTGGAGGGCGGATTCCTGATGTCCGAGTTACGCAGCACTTCTCTGCAAAGGATGGACACAAAGACAGGATCAAAAGCCAAGCAGGAAAGAATGGAATAACTCCAACAGTGGCTGCCACCACTATTGCAGCATATGGAGTTTATGCCAGAGATGCAGTGACTATTTCTCAGACTAGTTCAAGCCACACTATGACAACGACTCAGTCCGGTATGTATGGCCGGCACACATCAAGTACTGCCACATCTTCAGCTACAGTCTCAAGTGTATGCAGCAAGATTGCAGAGATTACCCAGGCCTACAGTCAAAGAGAAGTGATCACCAGAAGGATAGGGGAGAGCAGAGGTGTCCATGTGCGAGACAGCTCAACATCTTCCACTGAGAGAATTATTGAGCCACGTTCTCCCAAGTACACTACTTATTACAGGAGCACCAGTCCTCCTCTTTCTCCATCGCCGCCGCCACAGAGTCCCACCCGTTCACCTTCCAGAAGGAATACAGCTGAGTTCTCTACCCAGACGTTCAGTTCAGCATTACGAATGTCAGATTCAGCTGGCTCTGGGCCTCCGTCTCCAGTGACGGCTCAGGGAACCCAAACAGCACATCGATCAGTTTCCCCACGGCTCTATCGTCAGCAGTCTTCCCAGGATGCCCCATACTCCCCACCTCCAAGCCCAGCTAGGCCTATGACAGTCAACACTGCTACTTCTCCTCTGTCTTCGCCTACCCGATTTAGCCGCCAATCAACATTTGACAATTACTCCCCATGTGGCAGCCCTCCAGACACGCCGCCTTACCAACAGTCTCCTACCCGAAGCTTCTACCGAACACAAAGAGTGGAGAAAGTAAATGTAGGAACAAGTATGGTCACCACAGCCAGCCTTTACACTAGAGGGTCCATGTCAATGGACAATATCTCCCTCTGTCGAATATCTACAGTCCCAGGAACTTCTAGGGTAGAGCAAGGCCATATGATCCAAGGTGGAAGTGTTGTGGACCTCAGAACAGTCACCAAACCTGCCCCTATTATCATGACTGACCAGGGAATGGATCTCACCTCCTTAGCCACCGAAAGCAGGAAATACCATGGTGGATCAGAGGGTAGCAGACATTCAACGATTGTACAGCCACTGATTATGAACCTGAACACGCAGGAGATCGCCACACCAACCACTGTGAGTGTCACTGTGGCTGCTTCCATGTTCATGACCCAGCCCAAACAGCCAACAGTCTATGGTGATCCCCATCAAAACCGAGTGGATCTGGGTCAGGGCATGGGTTCAGCTGTGTGTCTCTCCCAGAACAAACCGATTTCACCTCCAATGGATCCATCAATACCAAAAATTGATGCCAAACTGGAAGACCTCAGTATCCAACAGAAGGAGCTACAAATTCAGCAAGAGAAGCTGCAGAAGCAACAACAGCTCCTTGAACAACAGTTGCAGCAGCACCACCAGATGCAACAGCAGCAGCAACAGGCATCTGCTTTGGCCAGGTACAGCCTTACTGGCCAGATCCCACCTTTACTGAAAAAAGAGTTGCTAGTCAGTCAGACTAGTGCTGCCTCAGCTGTGGTCAGTGCTGTTTCACCAGTCATTAACCCTGAGCTGTATGGCACTGGTCCCATTGAGTTGAAAGGGAAGATCAGTCCTCCTGGTTTGATTTCAGGAGGTAAATCACCACATAGCATGGTAGTACAAATGGACGGAGGGCCAGAGCAGGCCAGGGCAGTGACTCAGCTAGTGAAGGTAGAAGAAGGACAGGATGCCATGGATCTGACAGGGGGCCAAATTAAACCAGACAACCAACCAGCTTGCTGTGATGTTGTTTACCGGCTTCCCTTTGGTGGAAGCTGTGTTGGTGGTGAGAAAGAGGGCATAAGACCTCCATCTGCCCCACCTCTTACCTATGAGTCTGACCAAGAAAGACAAACTGGAGGGTACCATGAATATCCAATGGATGAACGTAAGGCCTACACATTACCTTTCCCTGGTAGGCTCCAGCCTTCGATGTCTGATACAAACCTAGCTGAAGCTGGGTTACAGTCCTACCGCTCTAAACTAGATCCACAACTCCAAGCCTCAGGAGAACTTGCCATGGATCTAACTGCTATGAAACAGGGTTATGGAGGGTATATAGGAATGCAGTATGGCTCCTATACAGATTTACGGCATGGAGGAGACATCACAGCCCAAACGCTGCCTATAAGGAGATATAATTCTCTGTCTAACATCAGTGCCGACTATGGCTACTCTGCTCGTGACATTGCTGGCTTCCAAGAAGCTAACTTGGCTCAGTACAGTGCTACAACTGCCAGGGAGATCAGCCGGATGTGTGCAGCACTTAATTCTATGGATCGTTATGGAAGCAACCCAGATTTGATGCAGTTTGGTAGTTTGGGGAGAGGAACTGGATCTGCAGCCTCCAGACTTGCAGCAGGTCTCGGCATGAGACAAAACCTCCTCTTTGGACTAGATGGGAAACCAATCTCCCACAGTCAAGCACTAACCAACCTTATCAATGCCAGGCAGGCCAGCCTCAGAGCCATGTACCCTGCTGCTATTAGGTCCTCTGATGGGATGATCTACTCCACCATTCAGACTCCCATCGCTTCTACGCTTCCCATCACAACTCAGCCTGCCTCTGTTCTTCGCCCACTACTGAGGGGGGTCTACCGGCCATACCCCTCTGCCAACATGACACCTGTCCCCCTATCCAGTCTTAGCAGGCTACCAATGACCCCCAGAATACCCTTAACTGGACAAGGTCCAGTCCGTTACCCAGCACCAGGTCTTCTCCAGACAACGTCAACCACTGCCACTACTGCTGGTTCTGCAACAACTTCAGCACCAGTAGGTGCCCCAGTGTCTGTCCCCATGACAACTACTAGTTCTACAGTCCAGGATGAACCGGTTTACCTCGGTAAAGGTGCTTCCTCATCAGCAGAGGTCACCTCTGTGCAAGGTACAGTTGTCATGCCAATGGAGCAACAGCAGCAACCAATAAACCTGTCCCAGGCCCATTTACACAGTCAACAACAACAACAGCAACAAGCGGCAACCAATCAGCAGCCACAACAGCCACCTCCAGCTGCCCATGCCTACCCACCCTCTGCTCCTTCACACACTCACGGCTATACCCAACCTCCAGTTGGCCCCTCTGCCCCCTCTAGTGGTTTACCCATCGCAGGGGGTCTTCCTCCCTTCCCTCCACCAGGTGCCATACACAAGGAGGGTGAAACCGAGGCAGAGAGGCTGCATCGGCAGCAGGAACAGCTTCTGCAGATGGAAAGGGAGCGCGTGGAGCTGGAGAAACTTCGGCAACTGCGCCTGCAGGAGGAACTGGAACGAGAAAGGATTGAGCTGAAGCTGCACAGGGAGAAGGAGCAGATGCTGGTGCAGAGAGAGTTACATGAGCTGCAGAACATCAAGGAACAGGTAGAGGGAGAAACGGGAGGCGGAATGGAGAGTTTGATCATTGGTGTCTTGTTTGATGTTTTGTGGTTGTTGGTTTTGCAGTGGATTTTGATTTGTGTTTTGTTGTTTCTGTGGTTGTCTTTTTTGTGGTTTATGTTATTGTGTTTTTATCCTTTTATATTATTTGAATTGTTTTGTTCTTTCAATGTCACATCTTTGATGTGCAACCAGTAAATTGACTTGCAAGATACAGTACAGAAATGATAAAAAAACAATACTATATACAGTTACAGTATATGCATGCAATTCAGTGCATGTTTCCTATCAGTTCTCCAAAAAAGTACATGTAACAAACTGTGACAGTTTTATTGAAGATATTTGCCAGTGAGACCATTAAATATCTCTTCAGAAGATGGTGTTAAGATACTGTCATTGTCAGTGAAAATGTTATTTGATGTAATGATTTATGGCTCCTTGTGTTCAAAGAAATGTTTGCATCAGCCAACCTTACCAAAATATACTTCTACATGCATGCTGTGTAGTTCACTTTACTGGACCTTTCCTGTATATGAAGTGTGCATGAACATGCCTGTATTATGTATGTGTGACAGAGACTGATGATGCTCAGATTTTGGTTTCATGTTCCATTTGTTGGTTTGACTTATGTTCAGAGGGAAAATGGAAAGTGGTTTAATATTCCATTTGTTGGTCTGATTTATATGCAAAAGAAAAATGAATCCCATTATGTTGTATTTGTCTGATAACCAACAGCAAGTACACATTTGAATATACCACTTTTCTGAGCTCCTGACAGCCTTGTGCAGATGTTTTAACAGTTAACAGAAGGGCTAACATGACAATTTTCTTCTTTTTTGATAGAACAAGCAGTTGAAAATCTTTCAAGTTAACTCAGTTAAACAGGTGTGGAAGCCTTCCTTAATGAGAATGAACTAGAGATGGAATGTATAATATGCATCTCATATCCTACAGTATGAGCAAAAAACCCTAACTCCTTATTTGCACTAGCCTGTCATTTATGCAACAAAGAAAATGCATTACATATTTTCTTATGAGCATCATATGACTGGCAACAGCAATTACCAGCAGGCTACATGCTGCACTTCATTTATGTTGCGCTTCCATTCTTGGTTTATGCAATATATAGAAGTCTGACTAACTTGGAACCATTTTTAAAACTAATCCATCAGCGCAAGAATAACTCCATGTCACATTCAGTGTCAGGAGTTTTTGGTCATCTTGTATTCAACCAGATGTGCCAAAAGTCAACAACCTTGTCTTCTTCTGTCTTTACTGTCTCCCTCTCTATGTTTCTCTCATTGTCTTTAATCTTGTCTTCTTGTCCATCATTTATTTTTCTTGTTTGATCATTCCTTCTCCAATCAACCTGTCCACTCTCACCTCTTTCTTGTGCTACGCTTCTCCATACTTTTCTTGTCTTGTCCTCTCTCTGTGTTTTTTGCCGACGTGTGCTTCTTTCTGTTCCCCTTTCCCCCAACATTTTTTAGGTCCTCCAGCAGCAGCAACAGGAACGCGAGAAACAACTTGTTCTCCAGAGGGAGCAGTTGGCCCAGCAGAAGTCCCAGCTAGATCAGATCCAGTCTTTGCAGCAGCAGCTCCAGCAACAGCTTGTAGAGCAGAAGAGACAGAAAACAGCTGCAGCTCACAGCGTTCAGGTGAGGGAAAGGAGGAACACCATCAGGTGCCTTGTATGTGATGTGACATCTAGCCATAATGCTGAAGGCTTCATTTCTTTGGAAAATTTTAGGCCACAGATTTAACCTGCCTGACACCTGCCTACACATGCTTGACCCCTGGCATGGATTTACCTAACTGACACCTCCCTTTTTTCTACAGTATATTTTCTAAAGCCAACTTGATCTCAAAAGCCACCAACACATATTCTAACAACTCATGAGTTAACTGTCATGGCAAAGAAAAATGTGTGTCTGTACAAGTCATTTTGCATGACACATGAAATTCATTTTGCAAAAATAATTTTAAAGTGCTTTCTAAAACTGATCACTGTTCTGAACTGACACCCCAAGCTGCAGCTCATAATGTTTGCATGTCTGCACTGAGCCAATTCTTTGGTGAACTTCTATGATTGTAACATGAGTTGCAACATGCAAAGCCTTTTCAGGCTCAGTTGAATAAATGATAGTTGACAACAATCTTTTTTTTTTCTTCAGCTGGACATGACTGGACAGCCCGTGCACCCCTACAACGACGCTCAGATGAGCTCCCGCTCCCTCCCCAACTCCTCGTCAGAGATGTGTCTGAGGAGCCAGGAGGAGCACACGGTGGAGACCAGGAGCAACATGAGGAAACACAGCTCCATGACCAGGCTGAGCAGGGACAGCTTGGACGGAGACGGCGTGGTGTTTTACGGCTCCCCCCGCAGGATCGTGGACAGCTGTGTGCAGACAGACGATGAAGATGGAGAGGAGAGGTAGAGATGTGTGTGTGCATGCGTGTATGGGTGGGCAGAGTGAGTAAGAGGACAGATACATAGATGTGAATGTGTTGTGTGTGTGTGTGTGTGTGTGTGTGTGTGTGTGTGTGTTTGGCAAGGATTTCCCTGATAGTCGTCCTATTTACTTCACATCTTTCTGTAATTAAATAACAAGACACAAGCTGAGATGCAGATGCAGGCTTTATGAATAATTTATAGACCATTTTCACACATAATAAAGATGTCACTTTTCTGAGAGTTTCAAAAGCATTAAGCATGATGCAGCAATAATTTCATATGACATCTGCTATTGGTAAATGTTTTAAGTTAGACTTGTTGTCCGAGGTTAAGTTTCTACGTTAAAAGCAGCTACCTTTACTCTTCTGAACCAAAGAAGCTGGGGAAAAATACGAAAAAACCCTTTCTAAAAATCCAATAAGTATCTGGCATGAGGCCCAAAACTATACAGAGGAAACCCCCCCTACTGTCAGCTATCACGACAATATGGGGCGATGGCAAATTTATACCTGGAAGAGAAGATGCTGGTTTTAAAATGGGCAAACAAGGGATCAGGCAGAATAATGGATTTACACAACGATGGAAGGCTAATGTCATTTATTGAACTACAAGAAAAGTATGATATTCCTTCAAGGCACTTCTTTAAGTTTTTACAAATAAAACATTTTATGTCTGTTTCTCAAAACCACTCACTTAGCCAGCTAGCTCTCTGGGCAGAGTGTTGGCCGGGGCAACTGGATTAAGATTATAAAGTGTAGTAGCCCATGCGTACTTCATGTTTACTGTTTACTACTGTACCTACTTGTACCTGTATCACCACTTACCCACCTCTGTTTTAATGAACTTTTTTTCTTGCCTTTTCAAGACTGACTATTTTATTTATGTGAAATATATGTATATATACAGATAACTGAAAACTCCAATAAAAACACTATTTTAAAAGAAAAGTTTCTATGTTAAAGCTTCATGATACAGCCTGCAATTTACACTTGAATATTCTTGTACATATGTGGTAGTATACAGTTTTAATGTTTCTTTCCCAGGTGGCAACCACCAGGGCTGAAAAATGAGGCCAAAATGGTAGTACCAAAACCTGCAGTTCCTCTAATGGCCACTTGAGGCTGGTCTCAGAAGCACGTCAATCACCACAGACCCACATGTTAAAATGCCCAACTGTACGGCGGGATTAAACATGTTCAGTCTCTCTAGCTAATTCCTCCCTTCATGACAACTGTAAAGGGGGTGAATTTTATATAACTTACCAGTATGTATTTTACTTATTTGTGGCATCACCACAGTCTATGAGTCAGATCCGCTCCTCGCTCCTCCACAGCTCCACCCTCTCATTCAAATTTGGTAACTTCTGTCTCCAAAAAACCAAGATGGTGACAGCCAAAATGCTGAACTCAAGGCTTCAAAACAGGAGTCCACAAACCAATGGGTGATGTCACGGCGACTACCTACATTATTTTATACAGTCTATGGACTTTCCTTACCTTTTTCTTCTTCTCTTCCCTCCGTCACCAGGTACATGATGCGTCATCGCACCAGAAGGCGTGGTCGCAGTGTTGACTGCTCCGTCCAGACGGATGATGACGAGGACAAGGCTGAGACGGAGCACCCGGTCCGCCGAAGGCGTTCCCGTTTCTCCCGGCATGCTGAGTCCAGTACTCCTGGCAGCAGCACTGCTGCCACGTCCACCACAGCCACTGACACTAAGACTGACTCCTCCAAGATGGTATCCTCCAGCATCGCAGTCCAGACCATCAGGGAAATGTCATGCCAGACGGAAGTGGAGCACCTGGGAAGAGTCTCCCCAGCGATCCATGTGACAGTACCAGACCCTAATAAAGTAGAGATTGTGCACTACATCTCTGGACCTGAGCGCACCCAGAAAGGACAGTCTCTAGCATGTCAGACTGACCCAGAAGCCCAGTCACAGGGTGTTGTAGCTCCCCAGCTCAGTGTACCAACCACAGTCAGTCCATATTCTTCCTCTACCAGCACCGGAACCCAACAATCTGGTTCTGTTGACCTCCTGACCCAGCAGCGCCAGCAGCAGCACATTGCAGCAAATGCAGCAAAGTTTGAGCGCCGCCGCCCCGACCCACTCGACATCAATTACCAGCCTCACAACCACCTCCACAACGAGTCCATCTCCAGCATCATCCGCCAGCAGCAGACACCCAAATCCCCACAAGTCCTCTACTCCCCTGTCTCCCCGGTGTCCCCTCACCGCCTACTGGAGACATCTCTGTCCAGCGAGAGGCTGAACAAGGCCCACGTCACACCTCAGCAGAAGTCCTACACAGCAGAGTCCCCCCAGAGACACCCCTCTGTGCCCCGACCCATCAAGAGCACCCAGAGGTCCATGTCAGACCCCAAGCCCCTCAGCCCCACCACAGATGAGCATACCAAGGCCAGGCTGTCCCTCTACCAACAACAAGCGCTCCAGAGCCAGGTAAAGTCTCTCCAACCATGCTGACACATGCAATAGCACACAGTGAAAGATAAATGTAGAATTACAGAGAATGAAGCGATTAAACTTGATTCAGGGCAGAGTCTAGATAAGATAGCTAAATAGTCGAAATGTTATCAGCTAGATAGAGCAAAAGTCTATTTTTGTTGTATTGGCTATGTGTTTCTAAGAAAAGTGGTTAAAATCAATGCTAATAAAAACTGACTAAATTTTTACCTCATGTTCAGTTCAAAAGCTCCCCTTGAGAGCTGCACTCAAGTAAAGTGTAGTAGAAAACATATACTGTGTTGTGGACACTCTTATGTAATTGACTGCCTGGGCAGATATTTCAGCTGGAAGCTAACCTCAGTGTGAAAATAAAGCAATTAATAGATGGTATCTTATTGTATGTAGCCAATAGCTGAGGTCCATAAAAGAACCCAGCTATTATTCAGTTACAGCTACAGTAGTTGTGGTTTACTGGAGGAATACTGTGATGAAATGTAGCTGCAGCAAAGAGCTTAACAGCTTCAGTAGTACTTCATTGGTTTACATCAATAAAATGTGTCAAGAAGAAAGAATTCAGGTTAACTGTAATGTAGTCACAGTTGTTATCCAGGTGTAGATTTTATGGGTCGATGTAGGGGGCATCGCCACAATGTTCATTAGTTCCCCCCAATAAAAACAAGAAAGACATTTACACCATAAATTGATGCAGAAAAGGCACAAATCAGGAAATTAGTGTTTGATGCTCAAAATGTTTTTGCAAAGGACCCCCAAACCCCCCATTTCATGTGTCCCACCCAGTTTTGAATCAAACCTACGCCCTTGTTTTAATTATCAAAGCTACGGTATTACCACTGATATTGAACACAGTTTGATAGTCTGGTTTGGAGTTGATGGAATTAATGCATTTTCCTAAATACCAAACAGACGGAATGTTTTGCTTTCGTTTCATATCTTCATGCTAATACTAGTAATACTGCCTAATGCCACAGTCCAAGAAAGGGCCCATATTTGGGGCTTCCTATTGTAACTAGTAACTAAACAAAATATTCTATATACACAGATTCACCATCAACAGTATGAAAAATTGATTGTTGGGTAACAAATTTAAACCTTGGGCAGGGCCCCAGCACATGTTCACACAGTCATTATCTTTGCTTTAGTCATTAGTTTGACTCACTTTTATGTTGTTCAGCGGAGTCAAAACTTGCCAGAGGCATCAGTACTGAATGGCCTCGCTGTAACTTTGATTGAAATCATTCCTTTCATTCCACTTTGCCCCTGTTTTTATTTTGTGAGTGCCATGAATGTTTAATGGAAATGCTGTGATGATGACTAATTCCCTTTGTTGTGGATTTTTCAGATGTTTCTGTTGTTTTGTTTTTTTTATGTTCTTTAGGGCATACAGACTTTATTAAGTCGACCACAACCCCAATATGAAACAAGTGACAACTTCTCATTTGAAACAATATACACAGTGGAAATCCACTGTTGAGCTTTCTTGAGGTATTATAGGCTTTTATTGTAGAAACCAGTGCTGAAGGAAGATGTTCAACAACTTGGCTACAAATTAACGAAATCTGATACTATACTAGGCAGCTAGTGAATGTTTCTGCCTGTTCATTTTAATTCTTGTAGATTTGTGATGATAGTACGGTCTGACGTTTTATTCAATATCTCTGTTTAGCTGTGATTTGGGCATTTTAAAATTCTTACCCTGGATTATCACACAAGGGGCATTACTATCATAATTCTGTGCATTAATAACTCCTTCAGTGTCATCATAATTACAAACCAGGACCAATTCATTTTCAAAATGAAACCTGTATTACAGCATACATGGCCGATGGCACACTGCTCTCACAATAAACATATTTTGGTGTGAAAGGCTTCATTTGTTTAGACCAATTGATAAAGATCAGATTGATAGCTAAAGAATGAATACATCATCATAAACTAATGAACTTGATTTATAGAGCACTTTTCAAAACCAAAGTTACAAAGTGGCTCACATGGGGCTGCAAATTAAAATCAACAAATTTAATATAAAATCATGTCAGTTGGGAACTTTTAGGTAACAGAAGACATTAATGGACCAGAATGAAATAGGTAAAACTCTTTCCAATTACTATAACTTTGCGCTGATCTTACTCCTCTCCGAGTTATTACGACACTGCTTGACTAATAAAAGAAGAAATAAAGAAGCAATTCAAGCTAAATTAAGCAAAATTAGAATAGGTCCTTTGATAAAAGTATGTTTTAGGAATACATTTAAAAAGTTAAACTGACTTGAATCATTCAGCAGTTATCCACTTCCACATCATCCCCTGTTGCATTGTAAAATCACTCCAAAGCATATGGCAAGGTAAACGAAACTAAGCAGACTGCTTTGGGACGTGCCTATGAAATGACTAAAAAAAATGTATTTGTTTTCTTCTGCCTTCCATCAGCAATATTGAGTCATAGCAGTCATTATGTAAATGTTGTGATGAACAGACCCTTTGTTATGTATAGATGTTTCACACTGCACAGTGTTTTCTCTCCTAATCTTCTGAGGTGTTGGAAGTATGTTTTCACTGCCCACATGCCGAGATTAGGGATTTATTTTATGTTGCCGCCCCCACACAGATTGACACGATAAACAACACACAGCATACTGTGTGATCTATTTACAAATTCAAAACGCCCTTATCAAATATGTATGGGATGGGAAGATACAGTATTTAGACACTTTAAAAAACAAAGCTGAAACAACATTCAGTCTGATGTTTGCGTCATTCATGATATTGATTAGCCAAAAGAAAACACTGACTCATCTGAACAAGATACAAGTGGCTAGTTTGTACTATAAACGGATTAGTTCCATGTGCAGTCAAAACACACAGACAAGATGACAATCAAATACACTGAAATGCTTGTCTTGTGTTCTTTGTGTTTTTCTTGGCTAACACATGGTGCAGTAGGCTTGGTCTAAAGATAAAGTAACCTCTGTGGCTGCTTTATTGTGTATACTTGCTGAAGTGGTAGAGACCTATTTTGTTTTCAGAACAGCATAAATTCAATAAGACATGGATTCAAAAAGGTGTTGGTAACATCCTTTATAGTTTTAGGTCCAAACCGACTCAATAGCACTTATTATGTATCTGCCATAACTTCACGCCGCCACCTCCTAATCCATAACTGAAAGGAAATTTATTCCTTGACAGTTGCAAGGTGATTCATTTCCAAAATATGTTTAGCAAAGCTTTTCTATTCATACAAAAGCCAGTCACACTCATTCGAAGCAGACTAAGACCCATCTTTAAAGACCATCTCAGCTTTTAAAAGATAATTGGTTTGGTCCTGCTAATTGTAAAGTTATATTTTACTCAAAATTTTAAATAAAAGACAAATGTTGTCAGTATTACAAAATATGGGACAGAGAGTTTGTCATGTTAACCTTGTTGAAATACAAAATCCTGAAAGCAACAACCCATCAAAAAAGTTTCCCAACAATTTAAGATGTTTGCTTGGATGTAGAAGATTAATTACCAGAAAACTGCACCGCAATTGGCACACATTTTAATGTTCATGTATGTCCTCTAATACAAACTCCACTCTTGTTTCCTGTTGTCCTTGTCTCTGTGTCTATATGTGTCTCCTTTGTCTCCCTCGTATATCCCTGTCGTTGTGTCTTTTCCTTGTTTCCTCTGTCACTTGACCTTTTACTCTTTTTGAGTTTTCCTCCCTCCTCTTCCTCCTGTTCTATATTCATTTCTTGTGCACACCATCTGTCCTCCCACCTCCTTCAACTTTCTTCTCCCACTTTGATTCTTCTCTATGGATTTTCTGCTACCACCTTTCCACTCCTTTCTACTTCTTTCCCATCTACCTGTTTCCTCTATCTATCGTTACCCTACTCTACCTTCCTTCTTTCCTTTTCTTCCCTCTCTGTCTTCCCCATTCTTCTCCCGCACTTTCTCTCTTTATCCTTCCTTCTCTTTAATCCTGTCGTCTCCCTCGTTCATCTGTCTCCTTTGTCTATTACCCTGACATGTCTTTGTCCACCTCACATTCACATTTGGTCACCACAAATGTTCCATCTCCTGTCCCTCTAAATTTAACTTGCTCACCATCTTATCCCACTGATCCTTCTCCACACCCTCCTGTTCTTTTGTTTTACTTCTCCAATCCCTTTATTTCCATGCTTCTGTGTCTCTCCATATTCTCCTGCTCTCCCATCCCTCCCTCCCTTCCTCTCTTTCTCTCTCTCCAGCTGGCAGCCCTACAGCAGAGCTCACTCCTCCGCAAGGTCAAGCGAACCCTGCCCAGCCCTCCTCCAGACGAGACTACTGCATCGGCTCACCTGCCCATGATGGCACCTGCCCTCCAACAGGTCTACCTGCCCTCCGTGCCCAGCCTCAAGCCCAGCTCTAGGTCTGGCCTGGCTGCCAAAGCCAGCCTCCTCAAAGACCTCACCCACGAACTGAAGGCCGTGGAGCAAGAGTCGACCAAGCTGAGAAAACAGCAAGCTGAACTAGAGGAGGAAGAGAAAGAAATTGATGCTAAACTGAGATACCTAGAGCTGGGGATCCATCAGAGGAAAGAGACACTGGTCAAGGAGCGGGAGAGGAGGGATATTGCCTACCTGAGGTGTATGGGGGACACTAGGGACTATATGTCTGACAGTGAATTGAATAACTTACGTTTAGCAGCTGCAGCTGCATCACATGAGACCAATGGACTACTGTCAACGAGGCCAAGCACTGCCCCTCTCAGCCAGTTCACCAGCGACCTCAACACAGCAGCCCAGTACCCACCCACCTCATCCTTTCTCTCCTGTCAGTACCCCCAGAGCCAACCGGCTGCACCAACTCCACAATCAAGTGTGCCGTACCAGTCTTCTACTTTCAACCAGCCTCCCTATCCAACAGTGTCTCAGTCCCAGGCACTGCCACAACCCACGCCCCTCCAAAGCCATGTCCCCCCTCCAGGACCTTCTTATCAGTCTCAAACCTCCTACCCTTCCCACACCTATCCCCAAACTCAGCCCCCATACCCCCAGACAGACATGGGGTTACCAGCTGCACCTCAGCCCCAGCCTGGGCATACAGGTTTTGGGCCTGCGCCCCCTGGTCAGCCCCCATACCCCACCCACAGCTCACCCTATCCCAGCGCTGTGTCCTCCTACCCCAGCCAGACTACCCCGTACCCTGGGCAGCCCCAGGCTGATATCCTGACAGTCCACCCAGGAAGACCAAGGCAGACATCGCTGGCCGATCTGGAGCACAAGATGCCCACCAACTATGAGACGATCAGCAACCCCACAGTCGTGGTCACCACCACGGCCCAGGACGCTACATATTCCAGTGCAGCCCCCTCTTATGGTCAGTACACTGGATCGACAACCATGGCCAGCTCCTATGGGCCATATGGTTCAGCACCAGTGTCCAGCAGCTACGGTGGGTACTCTACCATGCCACCCAGCACTTATGGCCAGTATACTTCAACTTCAGCTAGTTCATATGGCCAGTACACCACAACCACCGCTAATACTTATGGCTATACCACCACTACAGCCAGCTCTTACGGACAGTACACTTCTACAGTTTCTAATGCCTATGGGCACTCTGTAGACAGCCCCTCCACGTACAGCACTGCAGATGGGATGTATGGGGCTCCTGGCCTAGAGCAGAACATCCCTAGGAACTACATGATGATTGACGATGTAAGCGAGCTGACGGCAAAAGACGGGCTGGGCACGATGACAGGGGACATGATGCATCATGGGCGTTACGCGGGCGACATCCACGGCCACGGCAGCACCATTGGCAGCACGACGCGTGGGGGAACTGGCAGCTCCTCGTACGGCAGGGCACCTGAAGAGGAAGCAGCGATGCAGGAAGAGCTGTACGACCACCACGGCAGGGGTAAGAGCAGCTACAGGCACGGACCTCTAGGGGGCAGCAGCAGCAGCGTGAGCTCTAGCATGGGTGGGGGATCCTCCTATTACTATGACTATGACTACAAACATGGCAGCCTACGCTCCGGGGTACAGAAACCTTCGCCGTCCTCCAGAAGCCTTCTGGCTCCTGCTGTCATGTCCTCCAAGCGCAGCAAGCACAGGAAGCTGGGGAGTATGGAGCAAAAAATCTCCAAGTTTTCCCCCATTGAGGAGGCTCGAGATGTGGAGGCAGACCTAGCCTCCTATTCCTCAGCAGGAGGTGGGGCTTACCCCTCCTCTCACATTCGAGGGCGCCAGCTGATTGAGGACTACGGCTTTAAGAGGAATACATATGAGGCACCAGTCACTGGCACCAGTCATGGTAGTCGATACTATGGTTCAATGGTGGAGGAGGACGATCGGATATACTACACCTCCACCGGCCGCTCCCGTTCCACTGGCTACGGCATGGACAAGATCTCAGCCAGAGACTACTCTGGGTATCGCAGCAGATCCTATGAGAGGGACGACCGCTCCTACCGATCAAGCTACAGCAGGGGACGCCACCCAACCCGACAGTACTCTGAAGAGGAGAGCCCACTCAGTCCCCTGGGGAGGTTCATGGGTTCTGGGCGATCATCAAGCTTAGGTCCCGACCCGTACGACAGTCGCAGCAGTAGATATCATTACTATTATGGCCAGTATGGTTCCAGCCACTCGCTTCCAGACGTGCAAGACCACATACGGGACCTTCCCCGGACTCATGTCTACAAATCGGATGATACATACATTATAGACGATTATCATTGTGCTGTGTCAGACAGCGAAGGTAATTGTGGGAGCTGAATGCCCACACAGTCTCACTACCTTCTACTGCCCCCACCGTTTATCTAAACGTCCCCCACCCACCCAGAGGCTAGGCTTAGCAAAGAGAAAGAGAAAGAAAAAGAGAGACAGAGATAGCCGTTGCATGCTGATGTTTTCTTCTTCCTAAGAGTCAGTTGGAGCTCTCTTATCAGTGGACTGCTGTCTGTCTGTCTGCCTGCCTGTCCGTCCTTCCGCCTGTTCGTCCAGTCGTCTGTCTGTCCAATACTCGCATGGTTCTTCGGCGTGGTCGTTTTCTTCGTTCGCTACACTCTGATTCACTTAAAAGGTCTTCTTTGCACGACACAGATGCATTGATTTTTTTTTACAGGGTTTTGTCTTTAATCATGCCATTGGCATTGATGTTTAGTTTACATGTATTTTGATTTATGAACTCTTTGTCTACACTGCAAAACAGTCCCTCATAGTCACTTCTATATTGAAACATCTTTCAAAGAGGGCCAATAACAATTAACCTGAACGATACCATCAAGACTGCAAGGCAGTTGTTTAAAATATGTTCAAGCATAAAATTATTTTTTATGTCGTTGGCTTTAAATTTGAAGCTGAAACATTTGGGCACAAAAACAGCTGCCAACACAGACTGTTTTGCAGTGTTTGTTTTATCCTGTTCATATTGTCTTGTAATGTGTGAAGGCGATGTGAAGTGTATACTGCATGGATGTAAAACTTTTATTTTTATTTTCTGCCTTTCTTTCTGTGTCTTCTCCCCCCCCCCTACTCTTTTCTTTTGCATGCGGTTGGTCTTCTTCTTCCCGTCTCCTTCTTTCTCTCAGCCTGCATGCCGCTGTCTCCAAACGACATGGAGATTGACTGTGATCTGCTCTCGGTTTCCAAAGCCTACCATCTGGGCCAAGAAGAAACTGACTGGTTTGAGAAGCCACGCTCCAGTTCTCGACACTACGGCAGCCACTCATCTGGGAGGAGCAGGCACGGTGTCAAACACACCTACCATGATTACGATGAGCCTCCTGAGGAGGACCTGTGGCCCCAGGATGAGTACGGCCACGGGCGGCACTCTTCATCCCGTGACCACCGTCACCATGGCAGCTCTAGCCGACACTCATCCGCGTCACGTCATTCAGATGAGCAGAGGTCCTCAAGGTCATCTAAGGGACACCCAAAAGACCCATCGATGCGCCACGACCCTTCAGGTCGATCCTCATCTTCAGGAAGGCGTGGTGATTCAAGGTCTGGTGGGTACCACTCATCGGACTACTCCAGAGATCCATCTGGGCACCACCACGGACAGCGCTCCTCCAGACAGGGGGACCCTCACCGATCCTCACGCAGCAAGTCCCAGCAGCAAGTGGACATGCAGGGTCAACCACCAGGTACATACCAGTAGCTTTTAAGTTTTAAAATACCTTTAATTTTGTGTAATTTCCTCTCGGTCCCTTTGACTCATCCGCAAATCAAAGGAACAAAAGCTTCTCTATTAGTAGTGCTGTTTACACCAAATTCCTACCCCACCTATGTTATGTAACTTAAAAATACTAACATCCAACAATTATTCCCTATTTTGGGGTGGCAGGAGTTAAAAATAGTCATCCTTAACATTTGTTGCGTGATGCTTTCACAATGATGAAAACTGATGGAGAACAATTAGAGACATAATAGGATGTAGATTCGACAGGATGATTTTTTTCCCCTGTGGCAGCTCCCATGTTTTTAACAAATGATGTACAAATACTTAGACATTCTATTATTTCTAATGGTTTGAAAAGATTTAGCTGCCGTGAACTGGAAAAAAAAAAAATCTCCCTGGGGAGCATGTCCCTGCACCCATCTAGGTTTGGGCTGAGCCCCAAATGTTTCTGTCTGGCTCCACCCCTGGTGCATTTAAGGCACCTTTACACCTTGTGTAAAATGTTTTTGTAATTACATTTGCACTTTCAGTGCAGAAGGTAATCTATATTTACAGCTCATCATCTCCATTAAATGTCCAAATATTTGACAGATAGAAAAAGACCTTAATGTAGCTAATTGTTTGTTTGATTATTCAACTGATTTGGTGACATATTGATAATTTTTTAAACTAGCTTTCCATCTTTTTAATGACTATTATTAGGTCATCTGAGCATTGTGAATACATTTAAGAAGTAGTACAAAAAAAAAGCATCATTCAAAAGTCATTTGCTCATTCAATTTTATGACTAGAAGGATATTAGACCTCATTCGGATTCTTGCCAGTGTAGGCAGTCTGGCAGCTGGCCAGAATGAGCAGTGGTGCCAAAATGTCTCTATTTAAAACAAATTATATGTCTGTGACTTGATATGTAACAGGCATATTTCTAATTCCCATTTAAGTCACACCAAGTCAGTTTTATTTATACAGACCAATATCATGAATCACAAATTTGCCTCCAGGGGCCTTACAATGTTAAGTCACACAACACCCTCTGTCCATAGAACCGTGATTCAGACAGGGAAAACTCACACAAAAAAACTTTTAATAGGGAAAGAAAGGAAAAAACCTCAGGAAGCACAACAGGGGAGATGATCACTCTCCTAGGACAAACAGACATGCAACAGATGTTGTGCCTACAAGATAGACAAACATTATTTTAGATTGCACAACAGACAATCGGGGTGAAAAAATTATTGATAGTTCAAGAACATATTTGTAAAATACCTCATTACCACCACTGAGACCCGGAAAGAGGACAAACCACACAAATACAAAAGAGGTACAACATTCACACAAATATCAGACAGAAAATAAACACACAAAGGGAGAGAGAAACGAGGAAAAAGATCCAGATCTCGAACATCTGGAATGAGGCACCGACAGCATGAGGAGAAAGAGGTCGGTCCCAGGGTGGCCAGTGGTCCAGCACAGAGACGCCTGAGTGGAGAAGGAGAGGAAACAAGGGAAAGAGTGAAAGAGAGACAGAGGCACACAGCTGTGTTTGTGAAACAACAAACAAACAGTATGTTAGAGAAATGCAGAAAGTTTACAGTATTCCAGTCAGCAGGACAAACATGGACTATAGCACTAAGCTTATTGATTCATATTGAGACTGACTTGTTGGAGGGGTATTGGAAACAGGTACCAGGCTTGAAATAATCAAAGAATAAGCAACTACTGAAAGCTAAGGTGAAAAGATGGATTGAAACACGTCATCAGAGTCCCACTGTCCCACTGATATCAATAGGGAGTTTTTTCCAGAGGAAGGAGGCACGACAAGGAAAGGGCTGCTGACCTCTTTTTTTTAACTGTGGGGACAGACAGCACTGGCCAAGAGGCAAAATATAAAGAGAGAAAAGTAAAAGGCCAAAAACAGAGCCCTGAGGTACTCCATATTTTGTATCAGAAAATGTTGATGTAGTTGGGAGGGCATTCATCACATGCTGCATTTTAGTAGTCATCAGCTCCTCCCAAAAATGAATCAAGTAGTCAGTTAATCTATGGAGAAATCAGAATTATTTTTTTAACCCAGTAATAGTGATCAGTTCTCATGAAAAAGGTCTCAATCAGCGTATCCTCATACAATGGTTCATATGATATCCTACGAAATTGCACATACAACAGTTGGTATGATATCTAACCAATTAGCACCCAAGGAATGATGTTACCTACTCAGTGTAATGTTATGTACTTAACAAAAAGTTACATAAGTTAGGTCTGGGCAAGTAAAGTTACTTATGAAACATGGTGAGGACATACCTTTAAAAAAAATCAAAGCTTACTCAAAGTTCACAGGGCTCCGAATACCTGTCTCCTGGGGGAAGTCCTGTGTTTCGTGACCGATCTACAACTCCTTCCTGCCTTGATACAGATGGCTTCCTTCTTTACTCTGGTCAGTGCATTGGTCACGTGATCACAGCCTTCCCAAATACATGGCTTATATACAAATTGTTTATACACTAATGATTATGTGGATTATATTCAAATTTTGGTGCATTACTTAGATAACAACACTGCATGAGAACAGATTGCTCAAATACAACCAGTTAAGGGTTACTTAAGTTGGCTGGACCCACCTGGAGGTGGTGAAATAGCAAAGTCCTCAACTGGCTCTGAGAGGCTGTTTACAAATGAGTCTCGACCTGATTGGACCAAACACCCATCAGGCTTAGCTGAGCTGGAGATACTGTTTGACTGTAGTAATAACACGTCTGCTTTCTTGCATGGTTAGCAAGGGTCTTTCCTCCTCTAAATGCCTTAAATTCACTTTATTTAACACAACATTATGTTGGAAATATTGTTCAAACAAACCAACCAAAGTTAAGTCCACAGTCAGTTGTCAGAAGGCTATCTCAAAAGCTCTGAATAGCCTACTTTGACGTATTACAGCCCAAACAGTTTGAAATACAAGATCAGCTTCGAATATAACTTGTGAAATTACTGTGGCAATCATACCATAAATAGAATGTCCACATGTTGTAGACCTGTTTCTTTTTTGTTGTCGGTGTTGGACGTTTGGAAAATGATCCGATTGTAGTTTGGGTACTCTGTTCACTCTGTGGGTGCTTCTCCCGCTAGAGTTGCCACTGCTAGCACTAGCCATAAGCTTACCGCATATAAACTATAAATTGTACCTGATGGTTTTATCTGCTCTGAAGCATTGGGATGCACAGCCTGTCTGTCTGTCTGCTTCTTTTGCAGACTGACTGGTTTTAGGGCCCTACACTGCACAGTGTTAAAGTCACGCATGACAGCTATGACCTGGAAACAATTACAGTCAGTGGTCGAATTGTTAATTTTTAACAAGGGGGATGCAATGTAGCTTTGATTTTTTTGCGTGCACACATCATCAAATATGACAGCACAGATGTGCAAAATTAATCAAGATAAAGAAAAATGGCATGACCTATACCTGCTGCATTTAAAAACACAAATAATGCAGTAGTATTGCTATTGCAATACAGACAAAAAACATTTTAGAGTATTCATAAGAGTAGCTCTGAAATAGCTGTGAAAATTAATCTTAGAGTCACTCTTATCCTATAGACATTTCCTTAGCCATTTATAATTTCTCCTTACCTGTGAAGCCTTGGGCTGATAATTGGTGCTGCTGTCAGGTCCCTGTCCTGATACCTGCCTGGTTTCTCCCTGTCCCTCTTCTATCTATTGCAATAATATAGATAATAAATGTGCAAAGCAAAATTTAGAAATAGAATTAAGGATAGTAGTGGTGACATAGCTGTGGAAATTAATCGCACGGTCACTTTTATGCTATAGATATTTTCTCTCAGCCAGTTATAATCTCTCCTGTGAAGACCCTGCATGATCATCCTTGCTGGCCTCTGGTCCACTGTCTCCTTCCTGACCCTGCTCTTTATATTGTGGCAATAAAGATTAAAAAAGTATGTGCAAAGCAATAGTGAGCACAAGTTCATATTAAGGAGGAGTGGGTTTATTCCTAGCATGAAACTAGCTAGCAAGGTATTTAACATAGGTAACAATAACATTAACGTTAGTGTTCTTGTTAACTAGCTTAACTTGATATATTGGCATCTATTAATTAGTCATCATTTAGCTAACATTATCTACATGCAACAGTATTACTCAACTTACACAGTTTGTTTGGAAGAAACTGTGCAAGGTTTTTTGCTTCTTCCTGGCTGCTTTGCTGAACATAGTTAACACTCACCAGCACTGCCCAGCAGCACACGTCTCGTCTGTGTGGATTGACTCTGATCACAACATGACAGCGTGTGTATGCGCCTTCTCATGGTGCGTTTAAAGACGGTTCGGAAAAACACATTACCACATGTTAAAAACGCTGAATCTGCAGCGCTACTGCTTTAGTACTGCACCATGCTAGAACCACAGTCTACAATGATGCAGTGTCGAATGGTGGTTTTGATAGCTGACAAGTCTACTATTCTGTGAAACCCCTAGTTAGGTGTTCTTTCAGATAGGTAGAGTTTTAACCACACGAGAGCCATCCCAAAATTTAAAATGAGGTTAGTTTCCTTTTTGTGTTATTTATGATCTAATGTTACTGATCAGTGAGCTAAATCTTATGAGCTACTTCACAGATCGTTGAGTCACTCTGGATAAATGAGACCATGCACCATACTGAATGAATGAAATGATAATTCTATAAATGTATCCCACAGACCTAAAATAAATTTCCCAAACTATGGTCGGCCCACAAATTATTACTGGTGCAATAATAAGCTGTGATCCTTTGATAAGATCCCAGTGAATTTCTATTTGGGTCTGAGGCAGAAATATTTAATATCCCCTGTTTTTCAAACAGTTTGATGCTCTTTTACAATCAACTGTCCCCTCAGGGATCAACAGTTTTTAATTAACTATATGAAGCGTAACTTTTCGAAGGAAATGTTTTCTCTCAGGGCAGCACTGTGGCTGTGTTCTTAGCAGTGTACTCATTAAATCGCTGGTTTGATCTTTGCTCACAACATTTGTTGCATGTCGTTCTCTCTTTCACTGCTGCTTCACCTGTCAACTGCTTTTGTATACATTGTAATGAAAATTGAAATGCCATTGTAATAATGAGAAAGCCCTTTTGTAGAATAAATACTGCAGCTCCTTAATCAGCAGATTAGAGTTTTAGTTTCACAAAAGCAAAACTTTCTCAGAGGCAGAAATAATCTGATTGGATGAGTCAGACCTCCCTGACTGGAGCTTATCAGTCGGGGGTTTCTATTTAGGAAGTGCTCAAATAAGAAAATGAACAGATGATGCAAAGATCACAGATGTATCGACTGAATCCTTTGTGCACACATGATTACTTTAAGCTGTCGATCATTTGCTGCAGTTTGACAGCATGTAAAAGCCTGGGGGGTGCAGAGTACCACTGATATTCTGTGTTGTTTTAGAATATCTGCTGTGACAGGTGACTGCTGAATTTTGTGCTTTCTTTACTCTTTTCTAGTTTTTCTGGTGAAATGAGACAATTCTGGAACAATGAGCAAAAACTTTTCATTGATAAAAAAAATGTTCCACCCTCCCTTCCTCCACCCAGGCTCCTCCAGGTCTGGCAGCAGCTCTGCCCGGGCTCAGGGCCCCACTGGCGGGCCTGCGGGACCAGGGCGGCAGGGTGGTCCAGGCTCCCAGACAGACGGAACTCAAGGACAGAGAACCCAGCTCCAACAACAAGCTCAGACATCAGCGGCCAGACCAGGGCAGCCCGGTGCCGCAGCGACTACCGGCCCTCAGCAGCAGCCCCCAGCCCAGGGACAGGGCATGGGGATGGGCATGGGCATGGGGCAGGGCATGGGGCAGGGCCAGGCCAAGCCAGGGCAGATGGGACCAGCGGGTGGACCCATGGGACAAGCCAGGCAGACAGGTCCTGCAGGAACCACGCCAGCCACCATGGTGAGTTCAGAGAGGGCAGACTAGTAGAAAGAAATGGAAAATGAGAAGGCTAACATTTGATTTCATGTCATATGATAATGAGATGACAAAAGACTGATAGAAAAGATAGTTATATTTTTCTTTAAACAAAAAAATAAGACTTCTTTGAGGTCATGTTGTGTCTTTTTTTGTTGTTGTTTTGTGTCTTTTTTATTGTTTTGCCCTTTTTTGTAGTCATTTTGTGTCTTTTTTTGGTTGTTTTTTCTGTCTTGTTTTGTGTCTCTTGGAGGTAATTTTATTTTTGTGTCTCTTTTTGGTCATTTTGTGTCTTTGTATTTGTTTATGCTCCTCTTCTAGTTATTCTGTGTCTCTTTGCATCTCTTTGTTGTCTTTTCTGTCTCTTCCTGGTACGTACATGTTAATTTGAGTGAGGTTGCAAGCTTGTTTTCTTTGTTTTCAGAGGTCACAAAATAAGTGCCTCATGATCATGACAAAACTGTCTCCTCATATTTTGTCATCTCGATGTTACAAACCATTTTTTTATCAGGAAGTTGTTATCTCATTCTATTCATCCTGCTCTTAATAATTTACCATTCTCCAACACACAGTTGTTTGCTCGTTTATCCTCCTGCATCATTCAATCCTTCATCCTATTCATCCCTCCAGCCTCTATTCTCCTCTTCCTCCCAGTCATCAATTTATTTGCACCAGCTCTTCCCTTCACCCTCAGCCCTTACTTTCCCTTCATCCCCCTGTGTCCCTCCATGCTCCCACAGATAAGAGCTGGTCCATCTCCTCCCAGTTCAGATGGTTTATTTAAATTCTGCCTTGCCTCCTTTGGCAGGCCTTATCTAACACTGTGATTAACACAGAGGCAGCTGATAACTGAATGTAGCTGATTCACTGTCTGCGAGATGCTCAAGAAATTGGCCCTCAAAATGTCTCCCTACAAAAAATCTATTGCACTCTGCATTTACTCCACAATCACAAATCCATGCAAATTTGTTTGCTATTGCAGTCTATGACGTGTAACATGAAGATTCAGAAAGATTAATGATTGTCTTCCTGAGTCCATTCTCTCTCTAGTAAATACATGAATGTGTTGCCAGTGAAGTTCACAAAGCCACTGTCACCACGTCTTAAAATTATTCACGACGGTTTTTCACTGCTGAAAGGCATTCATGATTTTCATATTGCTTCATTGTTGTACTATCAACAGGGAAGCTAAGTGAAATAATTCATGTGGTCTGATATCAAATTCTGCAGGAATGTGTCTTGGAAATGATTATGAAAGCTCTGCTGTGAATGAGCTCCGACTGGAAGCCATAAACAGAAAATAGTACTTGTCATGTGATTATTATTCAGTCTGCAAACTCATACACTTACACTCTTATGTTAGGTCCATTGTGTAATTAAAAGCGTTGATTAAGTGGCTGTAAATAATGAAAAGCTGCACCTTACATCCTAATGCACCCCCTCTGCTTTGCTGCACCCAAACTGGAGTCAGTGGTTCAACAAATACAGAATATTATGTGATTGTTTGGCAGCAGTCCGGTGTCTGTCACGTCAAGTCGAGTTTATTTACGGAGTGCTTTTAAACAGGATTGACACAAAGAGCTTTACAGAAAACAGAGGACACAAAGTAAGAACATAAAAATGGAGAGCGATCAAAACAGAGCCATATTTCCTGTGTTCAGATAGAACCAACTGTTACGGTGATGGATATCAGAAAAGGTCTGGTCTGCATCTTTCCTGAAGCCATTCTCTGTTAGTGCAGCAGCAGCAGCAGCCACAGTCACCTAATGTTGAGGGCAGAGCTGGAAAGAAACGCAGCAACACAAAAGCTTTCTAACTGCTCACTGTGACTCAGCAGATATCAAAATGTCCAAACCAGACCACTCAGACAAAGAGATGAGGGGGAATCATGCAGGAAGATGTGGATGTCTACAGTGGCAACATTTGTGAATGTTTACTGGGAGTTTACTGGAAATGTTTACTGGGATCAATTACTCTGTAGTCATGTACCACCTTCAGATTAGTCCAATTTAAAGTGCTTCACTTGTCACTGACAATAACAGCAGAGCTCAATACAAAGAAATAATGAATAATACAAGCATGTGTGAATGAAAGTCCAGTGTTGACCTTTGGAACAGTAATTATACTGTTTTATACTGTTTTATATCTTGAACATGAGCTTTACTATTGTTTCTATTCTAAAAAAAATGCTCTACAAATAAAGTTATTATTAATATTAATAATCAAAGTAAGATGCACAGGAAAGCAATCCTGTAGGTCTTCGTCAGGACTTTTAAAACCTTTGTTAAAGCCCTGATGAAGACTTACAGTGATCCAAACATGGTGGCTTTATTAAATTATTTAGCCACTACATTAAAGGCTTTTTTTATTTCCTTCCTTGTTTGTGTATTTTCAGAATGCCTGGATTGCCTTCCTGTGTATCCTGTTCTTTCTCCATTTTCGAGGAGCAATCTGACAGATTGTTTTGATCTGTGTTTCATTATACAGCGCAACCAGTCATCTCTTTTCCCTAATAATTCAAATAATCGTAACTCAGGGTACACCTTCTGGCTTTTTCTTCCATTCCTTTTTACTGCATGTCATAGTTTGCTCAAGTGTCATAGAATTGCAACAATGGATGAAAATGAAACTGAAAATGAAACAAAATTTACATTGCAATTCTGCCTGAAATTTCTAAATAAAAATATAAATGTATTTATTAAAAAAATACAAAAAAAAAATCTGCTTTAAGGGAATAAGAATAAATGTAAAGTAAGGGGTTTAAAAAATAATAAAACAATAAATGATCTGATATCAAGGACAGATATCCACCAAAATACAAAACATAAAACAGAAAATCTATCAGTAAATGCCAGACTTAAAAAAGTTGGCTTTAATGTTTTGATCTTAAATTTATAAAGCACTATTTTTCCTCAGATTTTCTGGGCGTGCAATCGTCTCATGGCCTGTTTTGATAATAAAAACAAGATCATTTCAGTGATGAAATATTTGGCCTGATAGATATTTCCCAAATGTTTTTATTCTTATTCTAAAATACTCTCAATCATAACATTTTGAATAGACCAACCAATCAAGATAACTGACAGCTGACTTTGTTGACGATGTTGAAACTCCCCATTCACTCAGTCATCATTCATGTCGATCAGTAACGGTGTCACAACACAATAAGGGAGCAGTCTCTCCACCTATTTCTTTTTCTCTCCTTTCTGTGTGCATCATGAATATCTGAGCTATTTCTCCCCCACTGTCTTCAATTACCAACAGTTTTACTGTGAACAGGTATACAGGCCTACTGAGATGTTTGTGTGACTAAATGATGAGCTCTGTGTTTCCCCTCCACAGTCACTCCTGCTGTTTCACTTTCTCACAATGTCTCTCTCTCTCTCTCTCTGTCTCTCTCTTTGTGTCTCCGCAGACCAAGATCGACACGCCTCCAGTAACAGCCATCGGAGCAAAGGCAGCACCCGTCATGGCCACAAAAGCCGCCCAGCCCCCACTCACAGGCATAGGTACAGTACAATCATCACACACACACACACACACAGAGAGACTCCCACCACCACTCTTATGTCTCGCCAGCTGCTGCCCACTGTGTCTGTGTTATGTAACTGGTGTGTGCCGTCTCATCTAATCTGAGCTTAATCTGTGGGTAATCCTACAGTGGAAAATCCACAGGAGGGGTTCCACTTAATGGCAGTAGATCAGTCTGAGTGTGTCAAGTCACCGCGTAGTGACTTCGTCAGTTAATTAATTTGGTGTGAAGTAACTCAGTCAATCTGTTGAGCAGGTATGGTCAGTTTCATTGAAAATTCTGGAGGACAAATGTTGATCATTGTCACTTGCTAAATAAAATATTTAATAATTGATCATAAGTACTGGCAGTGTTCTGGACTTCATTTTAATTTTTTTAGGAATAAAAATAATTTTCTGATGATGAATGTGTGGTCAGTGAGTCAGACCTTAAGCATAGCTTTGTTGGTAAATAGTTCGTAGGTTAGTTAGATGGACAGCAAACAGAGAACATGTCTCAGTTCATGACTGAAAGCTACAACAGCACATCCGTAGAGACAAAACAGATGGAGCCCATCAGGAAGTCTGTGTATGTTTATACAGAGGAGACCTAATGAGTAAAGAGGGGGAAAGGCTGACTGGCAGGGCCTGGAAAAATACAACAGGGGCAACTAGTGCAACTGATGGACGAGACATCTTTGGTGCTGCCCACTCTGTTTGATTTACAAGTGATTTTTGGAAAGTGCAATGAAAAGACACAGAGCACTTGACACCACAGATGTCTTCGTAGAAAAAGAAAAAAAATGCACACTGACAGATGCCATCTAATATTAGACCTGCACAGATACTGACATCTCTTGTCCTCTTCAACTGTCTCTGTCTTTTCTTTCCCTCCCCTCTTTGTCTCGCCTCTTCCCTGTCGTCTGCTCTTCATCTCCCTGTTGCCCTGTCCAGGCTCCAAGGCAGCTCCTAGGCCAGGAGGTATTGGCAGTGCGGCAGCAGGTCAGCCTGGCATGGAGGGAGACAGCATGTTGTCAAAGATCCTCCCTGGAAATGCCGCAGAGCAGGCTGGCAAACTGGGAGAAGGTACATCAAACAAATCATCTCATGACAGTACACTTTAAACAAGTGATTGGGCCATGAAATAATGAAAGACATCAGTCATGTTGAAGAGATATCAGCTATTACTGTCGGTCATCACCATGCTAACAGTCTAATAATTTTTGGAGAGAGGCACTTTTCAATCAAGAGAGTTACTGTATATTATAACCTGCCCAAAATAATAACCCATGGATGGACCAGCCTACTGAGCACAGGCCACAGGGCCCATGGATCAATGGGCCCCTGGTGACTGTTAACACTTCCTATTTAAAAGTCAATGAAATAACTACAAAGAGCACTTAACGGCTACAGAGATTCCAGACAACTACAAAGAGAAACAAAATGACCATCACGTCCATAGCCATGGTCATTACAAAGTCAGTGCAGTAATAGTAACTAATGAGAGTGCTTTCAAGTTACACATCAACCACCCTTAAAAAAAATCCAACATTGTTTTGCACTTACTGCCCAAAACTGGAGGTAAATGTCCCTACCAATATCCAGCTACTCCTGAATAGAGTGTGCCAGGGCTGACGTCAAAACCCAGAAGTTTAGTATCGCGCTGGTTCCCGGAAGAGAAAGTGAATGTGATTTTTGCATTCCATTTTAGATTATGTCAGAAAATAAGCTCTGTGGCTAACACAAGTTTATGATACTTACAGGTTTTGTTCAGTGAGATAATCTTCACATATGAACACCTTTCATACCGCATTTGAAGCTTCAATGCGATCGCCAGAAGTAAAAAGCTAATGTTAGGCTTTAACGGACTACATGACTACTCCACGGTCACATGACTCTTGACGTCACTGCCACTAAGCTTTCAACTGATTTCGGCCGCTTTATTTTAAAAACATTGTATAATGGGGAAATCGGACTGTTTAAGCTAAATAAGAAGCTGTAATGGCGGACTGCCAGCACTCTCGCCTGTTCGGGGGTGATGACGTTTAATGTCCCCAACAGGGTTTGTAGTCTTATTGAGCAACTTGTTAGCAACCGCCTTTTTTACGACACGTAAAAGCTTCAAAATTCACAAGTAGGGTATTTACTGACGTGTTTTATGTCGTAGAACAAAACCTGAAACTCGCTTAAGCTTTTGTTAACCACAGACCTTATTTGAGGCATTTTACCGAAATCCCATTCAAAAAATGTATTGACTTTTAGACAAGAGACCCGGAAGTGCTAAAAGCGCTAACGGAGTTCCGGGTTTACCGGCACACTCTATTGTCACTTGCAATAATTTTGATTAAGAAATTTGAATATAACCACTGTTGTGTGTCAATGTCAAGTCAATGCATTTGTTACACAAATGGACAATAGATTGTGTTCTCTCCACATCCTTAACCCAACATCATTAATTCTTGCTAACATGTGAGTGTGGTGTGTCTCCACCTTGATGCTGTCCCTACGTCCTCCTCGCTTAGAGATACTTTTGCTTTGTCTGGGCCTGTTTCCAGACTCAGGATGCTTCCAATGAAAATCTTGGGAAAGCAGCTATGAACTGTGCTTTTCTGGAGGTAGTGAAGTTAACATTTGTGTGGACGATAAGCCATACGACGGTGAGATTTATGCCTGACCAGAAGTTTTCCACCGTCAATGAAAAACAGGGCACAGCTGCTTCCCTAAACTTTGTCACCAATCTAATTAAAAAACAACAGCACTTGACCTGTTGAGTGCTGTACAGTCAAAAATAACAAAAATCATAGAACGACACAATAGAATAAAGACACAAAAACCAGAGAGAATCCCTGAAAATAAGCAAAATAATAAAATAATTAACAGCAGACTACAGGGCAGGTAGATTTTTTATACCATATTTTGACTTTATTATCATGAAATTATGCCATTTTCTTGAAATATTACAACTTTATTCTCAGCTACATAGAGAACACACACATGTGGGATGTGTTTCAGATGTGCACAAAGTTTTGAACATGAGCAGAAATCTTGCTTAAACACATATGAGCTATTGAAGTCCACAGGTTTTTAAATGAATTAAAATGAATAATTTATCCTTGATGTGAATAGGTGCAGCATGCATTTTTAAAGAGGTAACCTCCCCAAACAAAAGACACAAAAGAAGATGGAGGAGTAAAATATGCCCATGTGTGTTGAGATAAGAGATAAATGAGAAACATTGATCTGCAGGAGAACAGATAATTGAAAGTAACACAGAATGCCTGAGAGTATTACTGCATTATATTCTGTTCTATCTTTGAAATGAAACCCATGCTCTTGGATTTTAGCATCATGTCCCTCAGTTGACATCTTTTTCCCCTCTTTTTCCCATCCACTCTCCTCCAGCTATCACCGGTTTTGGCAAGAAATTCACCTCTTTCTTCTGAGGTGCTCAGATTAAGGTATGTATTTTCTTTTTGTCCAGCTCTCCAATGTATCCCCAATAAGTCAGACCTGCAGAAGACAGATCATTCATAAAAGAGCTGCACTGAAAACACAATTGGGAGGTGATTTATCATCTACTGGGGCTTGTATTTTATGGGAGAGGCTCTTACATTCAAAACAGCTTCTCTCAAGTACTTTGAAAGGAGCAGTTTGCAGTTCAACTCAATTTAATTTATTGTCTTATTTTTACCAGATCTGAAGTTTGTGCTCATTATTTATGAACTCCTGGTAGCTCTTTTATGTAGTGCTCTCTTAAACAAAAGTTATAATACAGTTGTAAAATGTAGCCAGCAGCATGACTGTACATCTAAAGAGGCAGGAAAGGCAAAGACCAGTTTCCTGCTCCTCAGAAGATACAAGGTGATCATCAGACAGCCGCAGTATTTTTGGTCAATGATTCACGTACAAAGAGATGGAAACATTTATTTGTTTTCCTTCAGTGAACAAGAGCAACTCAACATTAGGTATAAAAATAAATCTGTGAGATGCTGCTGGTTCAAAGTCTACAGGGATGTTGACAGAGAGCTACAGCGTGTTGTGTTTTGACCCTTGTAGGCAGCAGAGAGTGGGCGTCTTAAAGTGGTTTACTCAGAACTAGCAGTGTGTGTTCCTAAAGCAGTGTGTCTACGTTGGAGTGCATGCGTGTGATCTTCTCTGTCTGTGTGTCCTATTTCGGGTCCTCTGGCTGCTCTGCATGTACAGTGTGAAAATTTAACATTTACAATGACAACTTATTCCTGTGATGACGCACTGTCTGCATCAGACAGGACGTGTGTTTACACAGCAGGTTATCACAGCTGAATACACGGTGCTGTGATGTAGCGGCGCTAAGTTGAGGATACATACATTGTATACACCACCAGAGCTGTGGACTTGGACCTGACTGCTTTGAGATTTGAATTACTTAAGACTGGACCTCCCAAAGACATGAAACTAAGAGCAAGTCTTAAGTTTTGATGTCTAAAAAATCCCAGAACAATGAAAAATGAATAAGCCAGCGACAGGCAGGCCTTGCATGGCCGCACATGCTGAATATTTTATCGCTGGGCCTGTGCATTGCAAATGTTATTTAAATATGCCGCATTGAGGGAGGTGAAAGAATGTGGCTTGACTTGCATTTTGCTTATTTGGACTTTTTTTAAGGTCTTTTCTGAAATCCTTCCCTGAGCATTAAAATGACCTACCTGATCCAGCAACAGCACTGTTTTGATTAAGGAAGGTTTGACATGCTGTCTGTTCCAACACGAAATAAAAAGTAATATTTAAACTGACTGAATGTCTCCATGTATTTGCAGGACTATGTAAATGTCAAATGACGAAGTCACGAGGCCCCGTACCAGAAAAACCTGTGAAGTTCACCCTGCTTTTGTTTTACTGAAAGAGAGAGAGGAAGGAGAGAGGAGAACAGAGACGAGAGCTGAGCATACTGGTGAGTTCTTCAGTTGGCATTTAACCTACAAACATTGTAAATGTTAGAGGGTGATTTTATCTTCTTCCACAGTTTCAGGTCAGCAGTCTGCAGGTTTTTATTCACCAGCTGTTTTCACTAATCATCAACCAGGGAAGCTGGTTTTTAAAATCAGCAGCTGCACTGATTGAACTACACGTTTGGTTGCAATGAAAACTGTTGAGGCTTTTGCCTTGGTTTAACAACATGTTCATGTCATATGGGAGTTAGTCATTTAAGGGTTAAGGATTAGTTTGCATTGACAAAAAACTCTGTGAATACATCCCAAGTCTCTTGTTGGTCATTTCCTTGCTCCTTAATCCTCGCTTGAACTGGAAGTCATTCTGAATCACCGTTTTTAATGTCGTCTCAAAGCTCTAATTTGTGCTCTGAGGAGCGAGGATACACCAGAGCACCCTTCATTGAAGCTTTATGAGCTGACATTTCTCTGCATTCTACTGATTGGATGCTGCAGCCGATCAGACTGATCTGACATAACACACTATACCAGAGTTACATACCAGAGTGACAGATGAGAGATTTAACTAACTAATTTGTTTCTTGATTTATTATGTCGTTTAAATAATTAGCTGTGTAAATAGTAGGTCTGAACAACAAAAGACAAAAAACTTTCTTTATTAGAGAGATTTTTCTATTTCACAATCAATTTTTTTTCGCCATTAACATTTATTATGGAGACAATTAAAGTCACAAAGAGGCTCTCTGTCAGCAAGAAACACTTTTTACATCATTTATCGTTATTTCCATTCAGTCACATGTGAGGCTGATCACTCATGAGTGTCGGGTTGATGAGTTACAGAGTTTCATTTTTTCCAGAAACATTTATCTTATAAATAATTTTCAGTTTTCAAAAGAAACTTTAATCACATTCTGGGTTATTAAATAATGAATCACAATCAGAATATTGATAAATAGGGATGCAAAGAATGAAAAAATAATACAAAGGCATTCTGCAACTCTAAATGGTACACAGTACATACATACATACATACATACAGTATTATAGATACAGAGAGCAGATTAATCATGTGCACATGTTTGTTAAACAGAGAGAAAATAGTCTATTGTTCTGGCAGTGAGAACTTTGTACCCTTATTAGTATGGGCACACGTTAAAAGTCTCTGCAGCTGTTGAAGCCGACTGACAGCTCATCCAGCTGTGATCAACTGCTGCTGTCATCAGAAACAGACATTGCTTCATGCGACACTTCAGAGAAAATTACGTCTCATTTCTCCATAAACATATTTCCTCATTTCCTCCCTCCTTGCATGGTTTCCTTGCGTCTCTCCATGCATCACTGGCGGGAGGGACTGAGATGCAAAAAAGATGCAATTGAGAGAAACATGGATGTAATTTCAGAGACTTTGGATACACCTTTATCCATCAGATTTGGGCTGGGCTTTCACTGACATTAGGCATCCATGTTTGTTTGCTTTTCAGGCACTTGTGTGAGGTATCAGAGCTTTCAGGTTGTAATCACACCTTGGATTTTGGTATGAGCGCTACTGACAAATCAGAAACTGATTATTACTGTAACTCCAATATGAAATAAGCACAGCATACCCACAGTTCATGGTGCCTTCAGGTAACCCTTTTAAAGGGAAGCATCTTGATTTTATTTTTTTTTTTTAGTTAAGAAGTTACACACAAATTATTAAAAATGTACAGTACATGCAAATTTCCATATTACACAAATATTGTACAGGTTTTGACACAATTTGCAAATAGTCTATCAAAAATAATGCTTAATATATCCATACAGCATAACTCTTGGAATAGTGGGCACATTGAGTTATGGTGGAGTTTATGTCTGGTCCAGTGATGTCCAACTATATCAGAGAATGGATGTTGATGTGTATTGTAAAAAACATTTCTGCTGTGTCCTCTTGCAGCCAACAAGGACTGGGATCCACCGGATACTTCATGTCTCAGGCCTGAGCACACACTGTCAGAGAGAACATGCTGCTTTCTCTGGCAGCCAGACAGTAAGTTACCTTTAACTTTGTCTAATTCGAGCCATCACAATATACAACCCTCCCATCCAGATTCTGCTTTACAAAGTAACAATTTGTTCTGTAGTTTGTGTTTAACTGTTATCATAATAATGATTTTATTTCACATGTAGCCTATTGCTGTATGCCACCATGTCCTTTTTTTGATACTACCACTAGGAGGTATCAGTGTCCGAAATGTTCAAAACCTGAACATCTCGTAGCTATAGCGGGATGTTACCTTCTGGTAGCACTGCTTCTTTTAATGCATAACAAGCTATTAAAGCTTTTAAAACTAGAGTTGTACCGATACCGATACCAGTATTGGAAATGCCTCCGATACTGCCTAAAATGCGATACTATCCGATACTACGTACTGCCTTGCGTCATTACTCATACGCACGCTACAGGCAAACGAAACAGAAATGGAGCAGAGTTTAAAAAGCATTCTACTGTAGCCTTAAATTGTGTGGCTGCACTTTAACCTGTGTCTTGATCTGTGTCAGCACTGGATAATAATAATAATAATAATAATAATAATGATAATAAAAAGTTTTATGGCATTCATTCTACTATTATCTATTTATTTCTTAATATTTTACATAAAGTTTTAGGAGTTGAGACATACAACAATTCATATCCCATCCATTTTTATTTTACACGTTGGTATCGGATCGGTACTCGCTATCGGCAGATACCTAAGGTTCAGGGATCGGGAATCGGTATCGGGAAGGAAAAAGTGGTATCGGTACATCTCTAATTAAAACATAATTTAGAGCATCATACAGCTCTCCACCGAAACCCACAGTCTATGTCTATGTAGGTTTTGCATCGTCCAGATCACGTGATCCTGCAGCATGACACCCAAAAATTATTGCCTTTACAGGTCCAGTGTGTAGGATTAAGGGGGATATATTGGCAGAAATAGAATATAATACAATAAGTATGTTTTCTTTAGTGTGTAATCACCTGAAATAACAATCATTGTGTTTTCGTTAGCTTAGCATGAGCCATAGTTCACATTAGGGCATCACAAAAAACACTTTTTCCTTAAGTGAAACTGCTTTATTCAGTGTTTTTACCAGTTTAAATCACTGGGTCTGTTTGTTTTGGAGAGGAAGAAACTTATGCAGATAAATCGACTCCCAGTGAAAACCTCATAAGCAATCAACACTAAAGAAATTCAAACCACGAGAAGTTTCAGCCGGTTGCAATTTGCAATCCTCACTGCTAGATGTCACTAAATCCCCTTTTACATAAAGAACTCAGCTCTAAAAACCATTATAGTTACACACTTTTCTGTTGCTTGGGTCACAGAGATCTACCACATGATTGGCTGACAGTCAGAGGTCTTAACACTGCCATAAGTGTCATGCTTTTCCACTGACCAACAGGCGGCAATAACACACCAAGACATGCTGCAATGAACCAACAAAGGCAGGGAAGAACAAGACTACAAACTAGTAAACCAAAATATAAACAATTATGGATTTAGAATACCGGGAAACTCAGCAAATGTCCTTCTTTTTATGAGGAAACTAAATGTATTCAACATGTTCGACCTCAACTTTACACACCGTGTATTTTCATGAGTAAGACTGAATGTAAACCTTTTGTTTATGAGAAAACTCCACGGTCCACCTTTTAAAAAAAAAGAAAAAAGAAAGAAAACAGAGTGGCATTAATCTAACCCTCAGGAAACAAATCTTGTACTCTGAGCACAAAGGCACAATCTTAATGTACTTGTCAGTTTGTCTTCGGGACATTTGTACATCTGTAATTGTCCATCTCCATATCTCAGTTGTCATGTGGAGACACGCTGCCTGTGCTGCTCATTCCTCCAGCGAAGCCTGAAGCCAGTTTTGTCGCTGCTTCTGTGTTTTTGCAGCTGTTGTATTGTGGCCTGCTCCTGAAAATCACTGGCATCTGGGTTGAGTTTAAAGCCTGCAGTCAGCTCGGCCAGAAACAAACCAGCAAAAGTCATTCTTGTTCCAAAAACATGCCGGTGATTAATGGGCCGCTGTCTGATTTTAACCTATTAGAGTAAACTGACATGAAACATCAGAGAGGATCAGGCTTGTAGCTCAATTTGTCTCTTGATGAACCAAAGAATCAAAATAAAACACTGCAAAGAAATGAAAGTAAATTGGCATCAGCATCTTTAATCCCCATTCAATGTGAGACACTGAGTCTAACAAACTGAGACGTCTCTCAGAGTACCTGGTTTGTCTCCTTTTATTCTGACTGTGATGTCATTGCACATTGTTGCCTTTTAAAATCTAAAAATGAACAGGGTATATTTTGAGGTTTATTCATCTTCACTTTGATAACATGTTAGAAGTCAGAATAATTTCTCAGGTGTGACACTTACTTACTTAGTGTTATTATTTGCATTTCTTATTTCTATAACACAAACCTGAAAATACAAGTGGAAAAGTGTGTTTGAAATTTTTATTAAAAGGTTTTCCTAAATGGTCTTGCATCCTACCAGCTTAGTCAGGCCGAGTATTGTGTATAATTTGTTGCATAAAGGTTCAGAATTAGAGGTTCGGTGTATTACACATTTATTCTATATCAGTGATAAGTTATAATAATTCATGATGCCGAACCCCTAATAGTCTGAAAAATGTCCCATTGGACTGAAAACCACTATCACTGAAGAATTTGGTGTGATGTCCTTGTGTGATTACAGTTGAATATTCACTGCCATGCCATGGTCCTGACAGCTCATAATTCCATAACCCCAATAGGCCGAAAAATGTCCCACTGGACCAAAAGGCCATTTGTCTGACAGCCAGGTATCCCAAAAACAAATGTGCATTGCTCCAAAAGCCATGTCTCTGAGGCACTCTTCCAAACAGAAGCACATGGTTCATTATTATCCAGGATGACGTCATCAGACTTTTCTACTATGGTGAAGGCATGACCTGCCCCACTCTGCCTCTGATTGGCCAGTACTTTTTGCCTTTGTTGGTTGGACTGGTCAGGTTTTGGCATGAGTGAGACTGGTTAGGGTTAGGGTAAGACTTAGCCTGAGTGTCAGACTGAAGCTCTCAGAACCTTCAGTCTGACATTGCCTCCATTGAAGGCGATTTACAAGGGGGAGGGAATTTGATTTTTTCCCTAACCAATCAGTAGAGATCATCAACTCACCCAGAATCTGACATCATTAGTATCCATGCCTCGGGGGTGCCGAAAACAAGCGAGCATTGCCCGTTTAAAATGTCTCCGTCGTCGTGCACGCCCAGCTGCATCGCCGTTAAATCCAGTTTAGCAGCTTCCTTAATTTGGTCCTCCATTAACGCGAGTAGTGGCGAAATACCTCGATAGCATCGTTAATGTGGTCTGTAGGATCTGTAGTGGTCGTCATTGTTGCTATCCTCACCAGTTACCCACCGGCGCACAGCGTGGCGCTGATTGGCTAATCGCTAGACCCGCCCCCACCCCTGGCGTTCATTGGTCCTTCCATCGTTTGGACGAGATAAATCGCAAATTCATTGCAGTATGCCAGACCAGAGATGCAAGCCTACTCAGTTGAGTGGGTGGGGTCTATGGTCTGGAACCAGGCTAGGTAAGAATATCAGATAAGCCAATCAGACGTAGAGTAGAGTGGGTCATGCCTTCCCCATAGTAAGAAGATTAGATGGCATCATTCTGCATAATAATAAGCCATGTGCGTCTGTTTGAAAGAGTGCCCTCAGAGAAACGGCCCTTTGGAGCAATGCTCATTTGTTTTTCGGTTACCTGGTTGTCAGACAAATGGCCTTTCGGTCCAGTGGGACATTTTTTAGCCTATTGGGGTTATGGAATTATGACCTGTCAGGACCATGGCATGGCACCAAATATTCTATTGTAATCACACAAGGGCATCACACCAAATTTTCAGTGATAGCGGTATACTGGGCTGACGGTCCAATTGGACATTTTCCAGACCACTGGGGCTTTAGCATTATGAGCTGTTGGAACTATGGGCAAACCCAGACTATTTAAGTCACAGTTGCTAGCATAGTTTTGCTGGCAACACAGCCTGCTCTTACTCCCAGCTCATCAAATACTGTTGCTTTGTCAATGATTTCAGCGTCAGATACAGACGTTCAGATGCACCCCGTGGGGGTATGATATGCACCAACAGCAGCTATTACTTGCACTGCTAGCCACAAATGAACTCTTCAAATACCGCCACTTCGTTAATTGATATCAGCATCAGACACCAATGCACGGAGGCACTCTTGATATGATACACATCTGGCGGCAGCCATTTCTGACACCGCCAGGAACTACCACAGTATAGTGAGCAAGAAAGTCCCTACGGGGGAGGTGAACTGGTCAAACAAACAGCAGACTTTCACCGGGAGCTCACTGTTTGTTTCCCATGTGAAATCAAAAGTCAGTGGAGTTATTTTAATAACAACATAGTGTGCTAGTTTGTATAGCGTGCTCTACTAATAACGTATGTCACGTGACGTGACATTACATCAGTAACAACCATACTTTCTCAGCAAACGATGATGTTTTTTTTCTACACCTAACCATATGCTTTTGTTGCCTAAAATTAAGGAAATAAACATGAAAATTAAGTGTTTTACCTATGTAGTAAGTTCATTTGAAAGAGGCTGTATGCATGTAATGAGCAGAAATCAGAAATGTATTTTATAGAAGACGCAATGCATGTAACAAGTGTCAATTGAAACACTGTCCATAAACATCCAAACCTGATAAAGGAAGGTACCTAGTGTGTCATACTTTGATGTTTAGGTCCACTGACAATGTGGCCATATTTGACAAGCTGGGATGAGTACAGGTTGGGCAGCATTAGTAAGCTCACCACCTTCGTAATTATCAACTGGTAATTATGTATTATTTGCCAAGAGTGGGTTTTGTAGTCAAGTAAATGAAATTGACAGTGAATGTTTAACAGACACATTCAACATAAACCTGCATTAGCTAATACAAAACATATTACAGATCTGTCACGTGTAACTGTAATGTTTAGGAAAGAGGTCTGAGCAGTATTGCCAGCTCATTTCATGGCATGTGTCTCTGATACAGGGTTTAGATGTGTTATGTGTGTCTGGGCAGTAAAAAAATAAGCAGTTATATGAAAATCAGTTACATGCTTTTATGTCATTGGGAGTACAGTCTTTTGCCTGGTGCAGTGAGTTTGTAAGCGTTTGATGCACCATGGGGGGATGAGCAGGCATTGATGTTGCTGCTGTATTTCAGAGTGTGCATAGTGTTACATATGTGCCATAAAAGATAATGTACTGAGCCTGGGCTCTGCGTGTGTCTGTGTGCTGTGCAGTCATGCGCTGACTAACTGCCTCATGTGACTCTCTCTCCTTCCACACTCTATCACTGCTGTCAAACATCACTGCTTTCTTCTCTTCTTCTGCTCTCGCTTTCTCACTTCGGTGCTATATTTCCTTGCTCTCCCTTTCTCTGTGTCAGGATTCTCACTTTCTCATTTGCAGTACACAGTGAGGGTATGCCCCTTTTTTGTTCTCTGCCATCTCTACTTTCATCCCCCCACCCATGGAGAAAAAAATGTCCTGCTCTCTTTTAACTGCATTCTGTCTCTGTCTTGTGTTTCTGTGGTACACTATATTGCCTCAAGTATGTGGACACCTGAACATTACACACCTCAGTGTGACAAATGAACATCTCATTCCAAAATCATGGGTGTAAACATGTTGCTAGAGCAGCCTACACTCCTCTGGGAGGGTTTCCACAAGATTTTGGAATCTGGCTGCACTGATTTAGCAGCAGGAGAATTAGTGAGGTTGGCCACTGATGTTGGCCAGGCTCACACTCAACCTTCTAGTTCAGCTCTAAGAGCCCTGACACACCAAGACAATGGCCAGCCATCGGTCAGTGTCGAGTTGTCGGTGAGTATCTGCTGCCCTAGTTTTTGCAGTGTGTTTCACACCGTTAGCACTACTTTGCATCTTGTCTGCTTTTGTTTTTTGCCCAATTCAGTACGCCGAATGGGCATCTGAGCTGGTGGAGCCGTTTGGTGAATAAATTTACTCTGATCGGCAGTTCAGCTCACTGTGCGAGAGCAGAAATGGAAGTGAGGAAAGTAAACCATCGACTAACAACAAGGAAGCGCATGATCAAAACAAACTGTTTTTTTTAGCCATTTAGCTCTTTAGCAGAGATGGTTCATAATTGTTACTGTTATTGTTTGCTAGCGCACGGTAAATATCATTTGTTCTTCAGCATCAGGTTATATTGCTAATGTGCTAACTGGCTAACTCATCTTGAATCCATCCATGTCAGTCTCCCAGTTTCCCTTTTTGAATGATGAATACAGACTACCTGCTAGTATGGAGAGTTATTTCCTCCAGTGCAGGCACAGAATGTACATGCTAGTTGCCCGCTGGCTGTAGTCTTTGCAGGGTGCAACTTTTTGGCCGAGACACAGGCAATGTGAGGCAACACAACACTTGATGTCAGTTTGGTGTGTCTGGGCCTTAAAGTGCTGGATAGGGTTGAGATCAGGGCTGTATGCAGATCACTTTTTTTTCACACCAGCTGGGAAAGCTGGACCGCACTTTGTGCAAGGGGGAAATTGTCACGTTGAAACAGGAGAGGGCCTTAACCAAACCACAACATTGGAAATACACCATTGTCTGAAATATGGTCATATTTTTTTGCATTTAAAAATCCCTTAACTGAAACTATATGTCCATACTGTGCATACTGTGTGTCCTTTTGGCCATATAATGTTTTCTCCCTTCCCTCCATCTCTGTGTCCAGTGAGTCAGATAGCTGTTGTTGTGTACCAGCTCTGGAGGGGCTATGTTCATTGGATTGAGTCTGGTGCTGGGCACATGCAAATATACAGCATGTTTGGAGCAGTTAATCTGAGTCAGGCACAGTGGGAGAGAAAACCAGAGGGCAGTGATTCTGAAAAAAAAAAGATGCATACAGTGAATATTCATTTAGAAAACAAACTGGACCTCCCAGGAAACAGGAGTTCATAAAGGGGGCAAAGACAACATGTAAGTGTGAATATAGACTCCCAAAGCTGAAAAAGTTTGATACCTTATTTGGCAAAAATGTTCTTGAAACAAAATATAACAAAATAGTTAATTCTGTGTGTAGTCAACAATGTGGGATATTTGCATTTAATGTAATTTGCAGGCCACACAGTTGAATTACATCATATATACATCTGGAGGCCACAGGTGATGCTCGTGTCTGGGGTACACAGGTGTTTTGCATTGGGGCTGATTACTGCAGTGTCTTTATATACACTGAGGTGCTCTCTCATTGTGTTTGCCCTGTGAGCTGGAAGCAGGGGGAAGGTTTATGATCAAGAATGAAAAAGAAAGAATATGCAGGTCCTAGTTTGCAGAATAAATTACAGTTGAGCTACATTAAGCACTACTACTTTGCAAAGCGAAAGGCCTCAACCTCAGAGCTGTGAAGCAAATTTGAATTGCCAGATTATACAAGTAACTTCACTCCTGCTTTATTTCAGGCGACAACGTAACATGCGCTCTTCCTATTATACAGTATTGACAGTTGCTGTGTCAGCACAGGTTGACATGGTGTCTGGGGATGTTAGGACTATCTCTGGTCTTGCTGCTGCCTAGTACAGCTGGTTCATGTTGGAGATGCTCACTTAACATGTGAACAGTGTAAAACAAACCAGGGCTTTTGCTGAAATACTGTCCATAATTGGATCTTTTTTGTCGTTTGCCACGACCAAGATTTTCACACACTTCTCCTCACTCTTGCTCTGCTTCCACTATCATTACTGCTTTTTGCAGCCACTTGTTGGAATATCTGAGGATAAAATTGTCCTGTGATGGATAAATGAAATACATGGACCGGGTGGTGACGCACAGAGATGCATGACATGCTTGACAGTGCTGTGAGCATCCTACACACACTGACATCAGTAACATTGGTGATTTTAGTGAACAAAAAACATTTGGATTCAACAAGGATCTTTGTCAGGTCTACAAGTGAAATTTTGATGACAGTAAGAACCCTTTACTGCACTAATGTGCTGTGAATGCAACAATGAATAAAAACATAAATGCAATACATTAATTTAATACAAAATGGCACAAATATTGGTACATATATAGTTACAAGGGGTCATTGTACCCATTATTAACTCAAAATATGCCTCCCTTTTTTATCTGAGAGAATCCTCAAAAGAAAACCTGGTTTGCATTGCCAAAGGGTTTTTTGTTTTGTTTGTGTTTTTGCTTGGAGCAGTAGTCCAGTTGCCTTTGACTCTTTAATGGCAAAAAATTAATGAGCTGGATGTACCTTTATGTACAGTATACTGTAGATCAGCAGTTCATTTCTAAGGCGTATCCACCATCTAGTGGCCAATTTAATTTTTACAGCATTACAGCTCTAAACAGAAATAACTTTTATTGGAGTAGAGAGGCTCCCCATGTGTCTTTCTCTATTCTATATCCATGAGGTCATTGATTGAATAGGTCCATGATACTTATTTTTTTCCTGTTGTTGTACATACTGACTGTTTTACCTGGTTTTAAGTGTCCTTGGGTGACTTAAAAGACATGTACAAATAAAATGTAGTATAACTGTTATTATTGTAATCTGAGAGAGATCTTTATGAACATATCTAACATGCAGAAGCCATAACAAAAGGGTTGTGTTCAATAGTTTTAACTAAATTACCTTTTTTTTGTTTGTGTTCCCCACAGATCATGCCAAGCCAACATGCATCTTTACAAGGATTATCCTCCATTCAGCATCCCCAGCTCCGATTCCAGTCTCCAGTAAACTACCCAACCTGTAGCAGTTAGACACATCTCCGCCCCTTCATTACAAAAGAACAACTGGCAGCCAATAATGAAAGCAAAATACAAAGAAAAAAGTTTTTGGCTTTGCTGCTCTTCTTCCATGCCAGTAGAGGGAGCTCCACCTACATCACCAGAGATCTCCACAGCCGTCAAAGTAGAGACAGTGGAAGCGACCTCAGCCCTCCATTTGGATTTAACGCTGCAGCTTCACTGGAAGGAAATACAAGGGTGCTGCGATTCTACTCCTTTACGCTGACGACTTCACCATCTATATGAGAGCTGCTTTTTCCTGCTTACAGGAAATAGTCGCTTCACCACTGGCATGGTGGCATGTGGGATCCTTGGTTTCACAGTCCTGTGCTCAAACTAGGAATAGCAGAAACAAACCAGCCTCTCTCCTCTTTCTGTCTCTTCTCAAGGTAAAAATTGAGCAGGGGAAATGGAATAAAACTTGCTGAGGTACTGCAGGTTTTTCTGGTACTAAAGACCTCTTGTTACATCACCTGTCCGGAAGGAAATTAATGGAAATGTCACGTTGAATGAATAAGACAATGCTAACGATGTAGCCGACACACGGAAGAACCGGTGTGTCGGTTTGCGTTAATTTCCACGGTTTGTTTCTATCTACATTCCAGATTGGAACTGTTAAAACCTTTTGCTCCCCCTCTTCCTCACCTGTCTGCGTTTCTTGAATGCTGATTCTTCTTTATTTCTAATCCCCGCCCAACAATCCTCAACTTGCCGTGTCTTTAAAGAAGTGTATAGTGGATTAAAAAAAATGTAGGAATTTGGAATGCATGGAACTTTATATCCAAGACCTTACACTGTTCATCATTACTAAACAGAGGCCATAAAGACACTGGGAAACACATCTTAGCTAGACGACGTAAACAATAACAAAGAAGAGAGATTTCCGGAGCAACACACAGGAGTCGGGCCACGTTAATAAAAGGAACCTTTGGGGGTTTTTTTTAAGGAAAAAAATAATAATTGGTGTTTGGGAGTGAAGCCGTATGTGGTTGGGTTGTTTTTCAGCCATTACAAAGCCATTAAGACAACATTTACCTGCAGTGCTTGTGGTGATGGGGTTTCTCCAACTGCTCCACAACATTTGGCTCTCAGATATTTCTCACGCTGTTGTCGGTGGTTATCATTTCTTGTGTTATCTTCTCTTTTTTTTTTATTTTTATTTTTTTCTAATTTAGTTTTGTTATTTGCCTGGTTTTTATGTTGCAGGTTACCAATATCGCCTTAATCATTCTTAAATATTTTATTTTGAAGTAAAACTGGCATATTTTTATTACGCCCTGTGAACACATATTTTCATCCCACCCTTTTTTTAAGTAGTAATATCAGCTGGAACACTGGCCACAGGGAGATTAATTTATATTTTTTGAACTGACTTTGTTTTTGATAATTGTTTGTGATATTATTTTTCTTTTATTTATGTTTTGTAATGTTTTGTTACCTCCATCATGCCCCCTGTCTATATTCTGACTCTTATTTATTATCAATACTTATAAAAGCAATAGAGTAAGAGGTAGGAAAGTGAAGAGCACAATCTTGTGTCATTTTAAAAGTCGGTGGAATAGAAATGTGTTGCCTCCGTATGTCTTACTTACCACTGATGTACCGCTCAAGTCTGACTTAAACGTACCACCAAATGTACTCCAATATTGTACTACTGCTGTACTAATAATACATCAGTGAGCAGGAGCTCACCTACAAACAAGAGTTTGGTACCACCCAGATCTTCTTCTCCAACCAACAGTGAGACATCATGTCTTCAATCAGCCAGTCAGTGGATCGGAGTGATACGCTGCTTGTATTAGCCAGCTGGAGTCTGATCTGAAAGCACTGCAGGGCAGCAGAGAGGCACTGAAAAGCGGACCAGTCACACATCGCGGCAGAACTGGACTTGACGTCGTCACCTGCGGGGGTTTGGGTTTCAATGTGATTCTTCTGACCCTCCAAGATGGATGTTTATCGGGAGCCCCGCCAAGCTCCTTACACATCAGTGTGTATCAGCATGTGTCTTCACTCTGTCAAATGTGCACAGCACGCGTGAAAGCACACTCGAAATATGGTGTCAAAAAGAGAAAAAAAAGAAAATCAGCACTCATGTGACTGAGGAAACAAAACTAACACACTTGGTTGTGTCACAAAGTCACTCGCCTTTTTTTAACTTTTCATTTTCTATCGTGGTGGTGTCCAGACCTGTAACCCGACCCCCGAAAACCTATCTCTCAGACTGTCAGTTGTCATGGAAACTTCTCAGGTCAGTGTTCTCCCTGCTGTTGCTCCTGCAGTGCATTGTGGGATCTGCGGTTCGGTACTCAAAAATGTACTCTGTCGGGCCAAACATTGCGAGGCCTTCAGCAAAACCAACGAACCAACCAACTTCTGCTGTATATTGTCTGTGTGAACGCTCGCTGGGAACCTTCGCATGCCGCCCGGCGCAGAAAACCTCAAAGTCACCTCTATATTGTTCTGTTCCTAATGTTTGTATGTATGTGTGTGGGGGTCTGTATGCGTGTATTTAACGACCATCATCCAATGTGGAAAAAGAAAAGAAAACAAGACAAACATGAGTTCAACCACAACAAATATGGTGGGCAGAAGAGGCGACCTCTTATCTCCAGTCCTTCTATGCAATGAATCATATTTGGAAAAACAGAAATACAAGGAGGGAAAGGGAAGTGAAAATACACGAATGGGAAAAGTCACGCAATCATTGTTTATCACACCTGATTACTTTGCTTTGGCATCCCTCATGAATCAGAATAAGGATTCTGTGAATTTGTTTGTGCAGTATATAGGTCACCTGTAAGTTAGAATAAGAAGGGTCTTTGTTTTACTTGCGTTAACCTGGCACATGGTTCAGTATCCCCTCTCCTCCCTGACTTGATGTCTCTGCCACAGGGTCTCTCTAAAGATGAGTTCATGGCAGCTGGGAAATGTCATTGACAGCTCAGAGAATGAGAAAGAAAATGGCATTGTTGCTGCCACAGACTCACTGTTTTCAGTTTAAATGGTTTTCATGGAGTAGAATTTATTTATTTTCTATAAAAATTTAATTCTACACCCTAAATGAGAAACTGCTCATGGCTAATCAGTGTTTCCCTTTGCAAACAGTTAGTTTACTGCATTACGATAAACCTAAAATGTTCACAAAAGATGCAACATAACAAATGATGTCCCATTTACCTTTCTAAACGCCAACATTAGAGACGTTTCTCCCCGACAAAGCAAGGAAATAACAGGCGTTTTAAGTGGGCAGGTAGCAGAAGCACTAAAATATCCCAGTGTCCTGAAAGCATCATAACAGCTGTCGGCCATCTTGTTTTGCTTCAAGCTGGAGTTAGCTGAGTATAGGAAAGTTAGAGAGATTTATATAGACAAAAATAAAAATTTAAAGAAATAGAGAGTATATATATATGAAAAGATTTAAGTATATTCCCCAATATGGCGCGTGTCTGCTCAGGGGTGATGAAGAAAAGCTCCTCTTTATTTTACTTTAATTATTTATTTATTTATTTTAATGACCAACGCCCAAAGTTCCCAGTGATCTGAATGTGCACTTGTTATTTTGCAGAGAGAAGTATTGAAAGGATATTTAGGTGAAACACAAAGCCAGTACACATACAAATATATACATATTATAGAAAATATATAATTTACAGATTATATTTGACTAAAAATACTGCTGTAGGCCACCAGTGAAGGCATTACTAAATTAACTGGTGTGAGAGTGAGTTTGTGTGTGTGTGTGTGTGTGTGTGTGTGTGTGTGTGTGTGTGTTTAAAGGTGCACAGCCACAACACGCTTAGAGAGGTTTATAAGCTAAATGATGTGGAAGGTGAATTTCTGAAGAAAAAAAAATAGTTTACCATCTGTCTTTTTTTAATTTGCAGCATGCTGTGAAAAGGCAATTATATAGACGCTATTTATGAAAAGAAAGATTTAAAAAGAGGCGTTTTTTGCAGCATGAAAACATCCCTCAACTCCCAGATCCTTTACAACTCCCACACTTTATTTCAAGTCATTGAAACTGTGTAAAAGACGTCAGTATATATATATTTTTGTGAAACATTTATGAGATGATTTATTTATTTTATCATATTGAGGAGATAGAGAGCTGGACGGGAGCAAAGAAGGAAGAGAGATTTAGGTTTAAAATTTATAGATGCAGAGTGAGAAATTATGTTTATGTAGATGTCGATGTATCGCTGGATTTATGCACAACCACAACAATCAGATTGTTAAAAATCTGAATCTGAAAAATCTATTTCATTGAAGTTATGTTATCAAGTTTGCCTAAACAGAAAAATGCCGTCCTATTTATTTTATTGCAAATGACTGGTGGGTGTTAAAAAAAAGTTTCTAATGTGCTGTCAGTTGATTGTTTTAAAATCTTCTTCCATAGGTTTCCCTTTGCCTACTTTATGTACAAGACTACAGGTCATCATGCTTGTTACCTTGTTTTGTTTCTCTTTTAGAGTTAAATTCAGCTGCGGGATTAAGAGTCTGATTATTCTGGTTCTGTTTGGATCTGGCCGTGGCCCTGACAAACAGCACCGAGCCTGGAGAGACCACGTCCCAGGTACACTGCCACCAGATCAGTGACTTCACCGCGAAAGCTTCGAATTAGTGTCAAAGTAGAGCAAATAATATGAGCGAGAGTTTGAAGTTACCCAAATTATATTACCAACTTCCTCTATTGTGTGTCGTATGTTTTTGGAAGTTTGTAAAAAAATAAAATGTTCAATAAAATGTTCCTCAATCACTTTTGCCTCAGGAAAGCACACTACTAAATGCAGCATCGCAGCTGAGATGTTCAATAGACAGTAGAAAATAATGGGTGTGTTCATGCAGGCGCAATAAATCAGATCTTTCACTTTATGACACAGATGTGGCTTTGCCATGGCTGCTTACAACAAGAGGGATTCTTCATCGAGATCTGTGTCAAAACGTGTAAACAAAATGTCACGTTTTTTGCTCCTGTGTGAACGCAGCCACTTAAGGTGACTTAAATATGCATAGCAGCAAGGGCTTTTATACTACAATACTGGTCACTGAAGAAAGCCATCCTGTTACTGCCCTCTAGCCAGTCGTGGTCTCTGTCTATACTCTGCATGGTGTCTGTCTATATCCAGGAGCGCAAGTTCAGACCACAGCAATCACCAGTGGGCAAATTCACCAAGCCACAGCCTGGTTTTCCAGAGGTGTTTGAAGCACAAATGTAGACAATAATAAAAGATAAAACTTAAGAGTTGTGTTCCACGTCAAGATGCTAACAAATATGAATTGAGATGTACTCGGGAAAAGCTTCTTTAAGCCCCTAAAAACAGAAACTAATGTACGTTTTACTACATATAAAGAGCTAAAATTCACTCTTATTCTTCCAAATTATGTTTTGGGACAAAACTCTTGGTTATAAGTTTGCAAAAGAACAAAAACAGATTTCCAGACATGTAGCCAAGAGAGGTTAAAATTTCCGTAGTCTTGACTCATCTTTGAATCCAACATCAAAAGTCTCAGCAATAAGGTTGCATTTACGCAGTCAGAGAGTCTGATTTTTGACCTTTTGTGGCACTGATCTAGTATCAGAATCCATTTTTTCCGACTGTACAGCCACGAAAAAGAGAAATGACGAACTTTTAGTGCCACAAATAGTTAAAAACGGAATGTAAATGCAGCTTAGAATACTTTTGGGAAACCCGGACTGTGTGTGTTTGCGTGTTCTTAACCAAAAAGGTAGCATACAGTGCTTGTACAGTACGTAGTGTAGTAACTGTCACCACTGCTCTTGCTGTCGGTCGTGCAGACAGTCGACATGTATAGCAGGACCGGAGAAAGATTTTAAAACACACACAAATATATATAAATATATAAAAAGTAAATGTTTCATAGGTGAGAGGTTGTAAAAAAAAAGAGAGCAAGAAACAAACAGAAAAGTCCATCTTTTACTGTAAAACCATCAGGGAGCGTTTAATCATCTTTCACCTGTAATGAATCATCAATTAAAAATTACAAGTGCATGACCTGGACACCTCCCCCACCCGACCTTACCCCACCCCCCACCCATCCCCTGACCCTCTTCGACCTCCCACCTCACGGGCTGCCATCTTTTTCCAGTGTAAATACCAGACGATGCCAGAGTCCGCTTTGAACAAACAACATGTAAATGCCATGAAGGACATGTTCTCTGTGTAACATGTCAGTCACAAACATGCTGACACACACACTCACACACACATGCGCACACAGGCATGAGAGAGGCCTTTGCACACCACACAGCGACACAAGCTGGAGCGTATGCAAGCCTGAACCTCCCAGCCCAAACTTGTGCTTTGTGTGTGTAAAAACAACAAGAACCTACATAACAAACAAAAGCAGTTATTGATTTGAATAATAAATGACAAAAATCGCATTGTGTACGTATGTGGCTGGCTCGTGCAGACTGTTTAAAACTCATTAAAAAGTTGTATTCGGATATAAAAAAAATAAAATAAAAACATATTGGTCTGTGTAGAGTTTCTATTCATGTTGTGTTTGTAAAATGAGATGACATCAAAAACATAAAAAAGGGAAAATATTCTGGCTTCCATGTAATTTTTTGGGGTGGAAAGATCTTTTTTTTGGGGAGATGGAGATGAAGAGGGTGAGATGGTGAATTGGACAATGGAGATGTGTAAAAAAAATGAAATAACCCAACTGAATAAAGAAAAGAGGGTGAAAATAAAATACAGAAAAAGGTCGAGAGCCTAAAAATGATTACAAAGTGTTCCATTCACTGTTGTAAGTGCAATGAGCTAAACTTCCTGTTTCCCCATTGTAAAACCTTGTGTATGTTTCCGTGTATTCCTCCTGTAAATGGGTGTAGTAGACCTGGTGCATCATGCCATGTAATGTGATGAATGACAAATTATGACCTTACAATACATTTCAATCAGGAAAAATAAATAAAAGACAAATACATAAAAACTACAAACTGTTGTGTAAGCTCTTATTTCTTGTTTATTTTCAAACTGCATCCTGATTTTAGATTTCATTCATTGTAAGATTAAATCGTACAGTAATTTATCTCATGTCATTATTAGGTCTTTGCACAATGTGTTAAAGAACATCTTGTTTTTGAAGTTTGTTGAAATTCACTCTCAAACAAATCTATAATTACCGTCTCGCAGTTTTATGCCTCCGCCACCAGTGAAGATGCTGTTACAGTTTACAGCCATGTCTGTGAAAACATGGATGCCTCACACACATCTTCCCCTGGCAGCACAGAAGATCTACACAGCCAGCACAGTTTCAGCATTAGAGTCACCAATTCAGCATCTGACCAAATGTCTCCCCTTCTGTTCCTGAGAAATGATGTTGAATAATGGTTATAAAAGTGTTTTTACAGAACATAATGATGTCAAAGTGATCTTGACCTTTGAACTTTCAGATATAAAATGTCATCACTTCATCTTTTTTTCCTATTAGACATTTGTGTGAATTCCTGAGTTATGGTCAAAAAGATGTTTTGTGTGGTCACAGTGACCTTGACCTTTGATCTTTGACCACCAAGAGGACATTTGTGCCAAATTTAAGGGAATTACATCAGGGTGTTCTTGGGATTTTGCATTCACCAGAATGAGAAAGAAAAAAGGTCATAGTGACGTTGACCACCAAAATCAGCTGATCATTGATTCAAAGAATTTTGATCTTAGACCACCAAAATCTTATCAGTTCATCTTTATGTCCAAGTGGACGTTTGTGCCCAATTTTCAGAAATTCCGTCAAATGAGATATCACGAAAATCGGACAAACAGAGGGACAGGTAGATAACCCGAAGAATAATGCCTCCAGCAGTTGCTGGCACAGAGACATAAGAACATTTTCTCCCTATAGTATATCAGCAACATATTTTCATTTATAGTTACTGTGGACAAACTGTAGAGGGAACAGTTGACAGTTTCATAGGGACTGTTTAGTAGACAGATCAAATAAAAACTGCTCAGTCTCATTTTTGACCCCTGAGGGATCAGTCGGCTGCCTCCGTGGCCTGACTAAAGATACAAAGCACTTTATAAAACCAGCTTGTCGCAGCGACCTCAATCTCACCTGGTAGTGTTTGCCCCATTTATAATAGGTTGGGTCCTTACAGCAGCCTGGGTTTAATTCTAACCTGTGGCCTTTCCTGTGTGTCATCCCTCTTCTCTGCCCCCTTTCCTGTCATTCTTGAGTTGTCCCATAATAAAAAGCAAAAGCCCAGAAAAATGAGTAGGTAAATATAACTTGTTTTTCACTCACAATGTGTCAAAATTGCAAACACACATTTATGAGGTGGATAGTGGGAAATGTTCTTTAATTATTGATTATTTCTTTATCATTCAGAATGGACCCCTGACCCACTTTTGGACCATGAACCACCTGTTGGGAGACAGGTCATGACATTCATGACAGAATAACGGCTTAATTCCATTTTGCTGCTTCAGTTTCAGGGTGCTGGTACCGTGCATGCTGTCTCACTGTCACAGCTTACTGGGACATTAGTACAGAATAGAGTCAACGTTAATGTTATTAGTAACACCTGCGCTGTTCCCAGTGGGACATGTAGCATGC